AGCAGCAGCTTTTGAGCCGTGGTTAGAGAAACCCCAGGCTGCCATCCTGGTGAGAAGGGAAAAGGGAAAAATCCAATACCATGTGGTGATGCCCCATAGTGATCCCTGGCCTTCCAACAAACTGGCTGGGTGACCTTCCAGGAAAAGCCAGCATGGATTTATTAGTGACTGGAGAAAGCACACACAGTGGCACAGGCAAAGCACATTCCCACAGCCCTCCCTGTGACTGGAGCCAATGGACAGTGCTGGGACTGAGCCCATCAGCAGCACCAGGCACACGAATTTCTGCAGCCCCCATCCCCCTGGACCTCTTCCCACCTGGCTGCTTCCACAGGGGAACCACAGCCTGGCCACACATCCCAGCTGTGTGCTGTCACACCTGGCAGAGCTGGGTCGGGACCATGTGGAACCCAGCAAGGAGGAGGAAGAGCATGGGGAGCACAGAGATGGGGTCAAGAAGCAGCTCAGAGTACACAGGTGTCAAGTATTTTGGGTCTCAGGGAGTGGGAGCTGTTGGGCAATGCCTGCCCCACCACAGGCCCTCTGTGGCCACAGGTAAGGATTGTGAGCACCCTTTGCTCCAGGGAATGCACCCTGGAATCTCCTCAGCTCTCCATACAATCACCAACATCTCATTTCTTTTGCAAAGCCTGTCTGGAAAGTCAGTGTTTTATGAACCAGGCGCCAGCAGTGAAATGGGAACGGATGGGAGCTCAGAGCACCTCATGCAGTGCTGGAGGGGCAGGCACTGCCAGACAGCTCCCAGGGGATGTCTGGGGTCCCTGGGACGGGCCAGCCCCCAGCTCAGCTGCCCAGGAGGCAGGTGGTGCTGTGCAGGCTGCGATGGGGAGGGAGCAGTGAGCACCCTGGGGAGGCTGAGCTGCCAGCCCATGTCAGTGCCCCTGCTCCCAGCCTGGCCACAGAGCCCAGCCCTGGGCTGTGCAGAGGGGGTCAGGACAGGACACGGAGCATCCCAGAGGCACATGGGCCACAGCCCTGGCTCACGTGGCTGCTCAGCCCCTGACTCAGCAGGTGAGCACCACATGAAACTCACCCCACCCTCCCGAGACAAACCAGCACCCTGGCACCTCTCTGTGCCTGGCATCTCGCTGAGGGAGCTGCCAAAACGCAGCCCACGCCGTGGGGTCCCTGCACCACACAGCATCCCTGCATCCCTCTGCCTAGCGAGGGGCCTGGCAATGCAATAAGGGCACCCCAAACATAACAAACACAAATGGCAGCAGAGCTGCTCCTCCTGACCCTCTAGATCCCACAGTCACCCATAGCCCATGGTGGGAAAACTGGCCTTGGGGGACAGCACTTTCCTCCATGAGGCACCTGGGTGGCCAGGGGCAGGCAGGGATCCTGGCACGCAGGGCAGGGCACAGGGATTGCCCCGGTGGTGACCAAGCTTGTGGCACACGTGTGGCTCCCCACAGCCCAACACACCCAGGTTGTGGAAACACTGCCCATTTCATCCACTGGCCTTACAGATCAGAGCACCCCGTGGATTTGGGAAGGGTGACACACCCTCATGGCCACATCCTGGGAGCCCTTCAGCCAAAATCCTCCTGCCCAGGGAGCTCGGATTGGAACACGCTCCCTTCTGCTCCTTGTGCCGCTGGAAAGCCAACAAAACCCTGCCATGCTTGACATCCCTGCGGAGCTGTGACATCCCTGTGGAGCTGTGACATCCCTGCAGAGCTGTGACATCCCTGCCTCCTCAGCGAGGCCTCTGCTGACCCACATTGGGCCAGTGAAGCCCCACGTGGTGACCCAAGCCCAGGCTTTGTTCTCGCCCATCACGGAGCCACAGCTCAGCGCCGGCTCCGGCTGTCACCTCGCATCGAGCGCCAGGCAGCCGATGGCCCCTGCTGGCATTTGTCCCCACAGGAGCATTCACTGCCTCTCCTGGGTCCCTGCTGCTGTCAGGGAGGCGAGGAGGGGAAGGCAGGACCCAAAAGCAGCCCCTCCAAGGCTCCCTCTGGCTGGGCTGGGGGTGCTGCCGGGGGCTCAGTGCCTGTCGCTCCACGCTCCGACCACCCTGGATGCAGATGTTGTCCCAAAACTAGGAGGTCCCAGTCCCTGGGCTTTTTGCCTCACACAAGGACCTTTGTCTACATCACTCAGGTTCAGGTTGAAGGCAGGGAAGTGTAAACTGTGGTGTAGCCATGGAAACTGGAGAGGATGGATGGAGGGAGGGATGGATGGATGGATGGATGGATGGATGGATGGATGGATGGATGGATGATGGATGGCAGCCTGCTCCCCTCTCAGCAGGCCTGCGTGACCCTGAGCACAGCCTGCACAGAGCAGGGGAACACCAGTTATTAAGATAATAGCCCTAATGACCAGCTAATGGCCCGTGGTCAGGCGCACCCTTCAGGAATGTGCCCGGGACCCACCATGCTGTGCTCACCCCAGCACAGCCAGCGGCATCTGCCAGGCTGGGCTGGGCAAGGTGGGCTCACAGGAGTCACAGAACATCCTGACCCAACAGCACCACAGTCCATGTCCTGACCTTCCAAAGCCATCACCCCCAAAGGCACCGCGCCGTGTCATCGGTCACCACGTCGAGCATCTTGCCCCTGGAAGTCTTCAGAACTTTTCCAAGAGATGCACAGTTCCTATGGGAAGGGGGAAAACCTGTCCACAACACCATGTCAGCCTTAGAGGAGAGCTGCTCTCCCCACACCCCCTGGGGAGCCCAGGCTGCCTTCCCAGGGCTGGGGGTCCCACAGAGGCCCTGCTGTCCCCCCCATGCCATGTCAGCAGCTGTCCCAGAAAGCACCCAGTGCCTGACACCTCCCCTGTGCTCAGGAGCAAAACTTCACAGTCCCACCAGCCCCTCAAACATCCATCCTGGACAAAACAGAATGTTTTTCCTTCTTGGCATGAGGGGGCTTGGCAGGACAGCAGCCCCCAGCCACCCACCAAGTTCCCCAGCTCCTGTGAGTGAACCCCTGGCCAGGGCTGAGTGTGGGAAGGAGCTGACATTCTGCTTTTAGCTTTGTTCCCTGCTGTGTCCCTGGTTAAAGGCCTCCCAGGTCTCCCTCTTTGCATCCCCTGTCCCACACCAAACACACATAAAGCTCCTGGCAGGGTGCAGGTCAAAAGCACGAGTTGCACCAGCATTAGAAACATCTTTGCAGTTGTGTGAAGAGTTAAAAACTGCCCAGGATGAGCAACTGGAGCTGTGCAAGAGCCTTTTCCTCATTCAGAGGTGGTGAGGGGGAATGAGGGGTTTAGATGCTTGCGCAGGGAATCCCACAGGCTGCCACTCAAAATCCCAAAAACCCATCCTCGTCTCTCCCTACGCTGCCCGTGGCCAATAAACACCACCCCAGGCTGGCACTGCCAGGGCTCCGAGCCCCGGCCCGGGGAGCCCAGCTCCAGGGGGACACCCCAGGGGCTCAGCAGTCTCTCAGCTTCTCGCAGACCTGCGATCACCCAGTGATCACCCGGGGATCCGTCTCAGCCCCTGAGATGGTGCAGCTCCAAGGAAGGCAGCAGAACTGATGCAACACGGAGGCAAAGCAAACCTTGAGCTTGGAGAGCCAAAACCCTCACATTTTCATTTTTTTTGGCCTTTTGAGGTTTTCTTAATTTGTCTATTTTTGTTCCTCGCCCACCTCCGCGCGGAGTGTGACGCGAGCCCTCGCTGGAGAGGCAGGGTTTTAAGGGAGAGCTCTGGCTGCTATAAAGCAGCGAGGTTCTTGGAAAAACAGCCTCTGGAGCAATAAACAGATTTGGAGCTGAGGGCTGTGAGGGACGGCTCCATCTGGGCTGCTGAGTCATGAAACCTGCCCGAGCGAGATACCAGCCGAGGGCTCGGGCTGGGGGAAGCTTCCTATGAGGGATTTGGGCTATTTCAGTCGGAGCGTGCGACAACAAAACCAGAAAGCGAACAAAAGCGGGCTGGGGTGGCCACGCTTCGCTCCAGCAGCCGCGGGGTTAAGGCAGAGGCTGCCCTCCTCCCCCTCCTCCTCCTCCTCCTCCTCCTCCTCCTCTGCCAGTGCCAGCCTTGTCCCGTGTCCCTGCCATGGTGGGGAGGCAGTGGGAGCAGAGCCCTCACCTCAATCCCACAGTTTGCAGCCGAAGAAAAACTCTCTGTCCCCTTTGCTGTGTGGATCCCCTAACCCACGGCATCCCTCCCTGGGGATCCCTGACCCTCCTTGGGGATCCCCATCCCTCCTTGGGGATCCCAGCCCATGCCAGCTCTCCACCTGAGCCCACCCTGCCCTGGGCCAGGGTCCAGGAGGGTGCCACAAGAAGCCCCGGGAGCCTCAGGACCACCTGACGTTCCTTCACTGTGCTCCCAGCGTGGGGAGGAGCTGTGGCTTGGGATGTCCTGAGTCCCAAAAACCAGGTTCCTCTCTCTTTTTCAGGGCTGGACCCCTCCCCAGTGAGCACCCATTGAGCCGAGGCACTCTGGCACATCCCCATCCCCAAAGGCACTCCACCTTGTCCCCACACACACTGGCAGGGTCCCCACAGGGACATGGCATGTCCCATCCCTAACAAGGGATGTCCTGGGCCCTGCCACATCCCCACACGATGTGCCGTCCCCAGTGGGACCCTGCCACATCCCTGTGCCCACAGCGACCACCTCTCCCTGCCATGGCCCTTCACTGACTTCAACACATCCCATCCCCACAGTGATCCCATCATGTCCCCACTGGGATCCCCACTGTCTCCATCCTCACAGGGACCCCCACTCGTCCCCACACAGAGGAGCCACATCCCCACAGGGACCCCGTGTTTTCTCCACAGTGACACTCAGCTGTTCCCATCCCCACAGCGACCCCGCCATGTCGCCCCCGGGAGCCCCCTGTTCCCGTCCCCACAGGGCCTCGCCGCCCCCACAGCGGCTCCCACTCCCACAGGCCCCGCGGGCCCGGCGGCGGCGGCGCCTTTAAGCGGGGCCGGTCTCCCGGAGCCCCCGCCCGGGGGCCGGGCCGGGCCGCCCCCCGTAGCCTGGTAACGGCGGCTCTGCGGGCGGGGGCGGCCCCGGCAGCCGCGGTCAGGTGGCACCGCCGAGACGGAGCCGGCCGAGCACGATAAAAGTCCCGGCCCGCCGCCGCCACGGCCGCGAGGGAGCGCGGAGCCGCCGCCCGGGAGCCATGGTAGGGACGGGCAGGGCCGGGCGGGGGGAGCCGGGGCGCTCGGGCTGGGGGGCCCCGCCGTTCCCCGCTGTGTTCGCTGTCCCCAGCCCGCCCCGCTCGCTTACGGTGCCTCCGGAGGGGCCCCCGGCGGGCGGGACGGGACGCGGGGAGGTTCCGATCCGCGGCGGGCTCAGGGTACCGGGGTTGTGCCGCGGGACAGCGGCCCCGCTGCGGCGGGACGGGGCGGCCGGGGAGCCCCACGGAGCGGGACGCGGCAAAGAACGCGGTGGGCGCTGCTCAGAGCCCGGCTGAGCCCGGCGGGAGAGCGGGGGGCACCTCCGAGCTGCACCGGGGCAGCCGCGGGCACGGCTCCGGGGGTTGCTCGACGTGGAGCCAGCCCCAGCCCGGGCTGTGCTGGAGCAGGGCTCCATCCCTGCATCCTGGCTCCGCACCCACCTCTGGCTGCTGCCCGCGGCACCCCCAGCTCAGCATCATCCCCTGGACCCTGCTCTTGCACCCCTGCTGTGGGCTCCCATCCCTGGCTCCTGCCCTTGCACTCCTGCTCTGGTCATCCATCCCTGGCTCTTGCCCTTCCTTCCATCCCTGGATCCTGCTCTTGCACCCCTGCTGTGGGCACCCATCCCTGCCTCCTGCCCTCTCTCCAATCCCTGGCTCCTGCCCTCTCTCGCATTCCTAGATCCTGCCCTTGCACTCCTGCTCTGAGCATCCATCCCTGGCTCCTGCCCATCAGTGTGCTGGAGTGGAGCTCCCATCCCTGGCTCCTGCCCTCTCTTCCATCCCTAGATCCTGCCCTTGCACTCCTGCCCTGGCTCCCATCCCTGGCTCCTGCCCTCCACACCCCCTCTCCCAGGGCACCCCGGTGTCCCCAAGCCCCGCTGGGTGCCTGCAGCTGCCCGGCCTCACATCCAGCCCGGCTGCATGCACGGCCCTTGACTCAGCTCCGGAGCAGCTGCTTTGAGCAACACCGGTAATCAATGAGTGGCATTTGGCTGTAGGGAGATGGGGCAGGATTATAACCTGTTCGACTGGGCAGCAAATGAGCCTTTTATTCTGGAGGTTTGAGTGTTGGCAGATGCCTTAATATCATGTTGCAAGTTCAGTTTATCCCTAATGCCCCTGCCTCAGGAATGGTGGAGGATTAGCACTGACAAAACACTGTTTTCCCTTATGATACACCGGCTCAGCTGCCCTTCTCTGGCAGGGAGTGGATTCCTCCCCCAGGCCTCGCTGTAAACCTTGGTGTTTGCTGTGTTCCCGGTGGTTGGGACGGGCTCTGTGGCACTCTGGTTCCCAAGGAATGGGAAGGAAGGATCCCTAATTTGGGGGACACGTGCTGTTCCCCGCTGGCAGAGAGATCTGATGCCACGACTTGGCTGACGTGACCCTGGTGAACGTCAGGGGAGCAGTAATGCAGCAGGTTTTAATCAATTTGTGCCTGGAAGGTGTGAACGTGCAGCTCTGCCTGTCCTTCCTGCCCCCTGGACAGGGACACAGACATCCCGGTTTCCTCCAGGAACAAAGGTGAAATCCCAGGGATTTCATCCGAGTCCTCGAGTCCTCGCTGCGGGGTCTGCTCTGGGCTCTGGCACTGCTTCCTCGTTGGTCAGGGCAAGATGGAAATTTGCATGGCTTAATTCAAAACCTGATCCCAGCTGGAATCTCAGAGCTGGAAAGCCGGAGAGCTCATGCTGCTCCAGTGCTAGAAACATACAGGATGTGGGGGGAAATCTGCCTGAGCCAGGCTCCATGGGAGGGAGGAAAAAAGGGATGCAGAGCCACCACCAAAAAAGTCTCAGGTCTCTGCTCGGGGAGCCAGAACCAGCTTTGTCCCACGGAACCAGCCACCTGCACGCCTGGGCATGCAGGAAAAGGCTGGGAATGAGGAGTGGGGAAAAGGCACCTGAGCAGGGCAGTGGGGCCTGGGAGCACCATGTGCTGACCCCACCAGAGCCATCTCCTACAGGCTGTTCACCAGAGAAGCCTTCCAGGCTTCCTGCCACCGCTGCAGGACTTTCCTTCCAGGGTGGTTTTCCCTGGAAGGGAGGGGTAACACCTCAAACCAGGCACGGGAGCTTCTCCCAGCCCCTCCTCTCCAGGTACACAGCACACACACACCCATTTATCGCTTCAGAAAGGACACTCTGAGCAGCCATGACGTGAAGAGAGGGCTCTGGCATTTGGAAATAGCTGAGGAATCTCTGAACAGGAGCCCCAGCTCCCTGGATGCTTGGGAATAAAGCCAGGAACTGGGAGGCAAAGGCACTGCCCACCCTTCCCGGGGCACCTGTGGTGCAGGCAGTGCGTGGGCTCAGCTCACACAGCTACTCCCCTGCTTCAAAAATAGTATAAAATTATCATAATCAGGCAGGTTTGGGGTTCCCAGCAGGAAGAATCAACAGGTGCTGCCACAGTCACCCCTAGGCCAGATGGGTCAGGATTCCCAGGCCAATGAGAATTAATTCTCATTTATTTTCACCATCCCACCCTGCAGTGTGGGGGGATCTGCAGGTCCCTCCCTTTAGGGGCAGGAGGAAATGTGAATTTGCACAGCATCCCTGGGAAAGAAAATTCCCCCCAGCCTGGAGCAGCCAGAGCTCCTCCAGGGAGCCGAGGGGTGCTGCTCACAGGGGAGGAAGCCCCACGTGTAAATAAACTCCATCTCCCCCAAACTGATTAAAAAGCCTCTCTGCCTGTCACCCGACACAACCCCACGGGTGTGCTCAGAGCTGACCTCATTCCTCACAGCTGCTGCGGGCACATCCCTGTGCTCCCCTGCCCGGCCTCGGGCAGCCTGGGCAAGGCGTGGGCAGCCCCTGCCCCAGAGCTGACCTCATTCCTCACAGCTGCTGCGGGCACATCCCTGTGCTCCCCGCCGTGCCCAGCCAGCCCCTGCCTGCCGGGAGTGCCTCCGGAGGGGAATGTGCCACCATCAGGTTCATCTTTGAGCCCCCCTGGGAAGCCAGGCAGCTGAGAGCATGCAGCAGTTGGCAGTGCCCCTGGAAAAGGCCCGGGTGAGGCCAGCACGGAGGCACCGGGCCGTTTCCAGGACACGTCGCAGCGAATTCGCAGCTGCCTTCAATTTCATGGGCTCTGGGGTGGGCTGGGGCAGAGCCCCACGAGCAGCAGGCACAGCCCTGGGCCCGGCAGGGTCACACACGAGCAATCACACCAGGTCCCTGTGTTTTGTTCTGCTAACAGGGAAGAGATTGTGTCCCTCCTGTCAGCTGTGACTGCGCAGGGCACGGCTCCGGAAAAAACAAGGCTCCATCTTGCAGCACCCCGGGAGCCAGAGCCAGGCGTGGGTCTGCTCCCTGAACGTGCCCCCCCTGCTCTCCATCCACCTCCCCCGGGGTCACACTTGGACACAGGGAGCAGGGGATGGAGCTTTCCTAAACTCCACCTGCAATCCAGATGCCATCAGCTGGCGCTGGAATAATCTGTGGTGCTCCAGAAGAGGCGGTATCACCACTCGGGGCTGGAAAACAGCCCTCAGTGCTCAGGAACCGATGCTGCACGCAACTGTCGGATCCCTTGGTGACTCCTCACAGCTTAGTTGTGGATTTTAAAGCATTTCACGTGCCTCCCAGGAGTTTTTAGGCAGGATGCAGGTGGCCTCCATGCTTGGGGAGCCCTGTGCCCCCGCTGCGCTCTCCCAGCGAGCAGCACACAGAGCCCGTGGCTCTGAAAGCACAGACGTGGCGTTTAAAAGAAAGATGGTTTGTTTTTCTTGCATCAAATCCCTCGCTGCTTGCCGAGGGAGCCTTGTCCTCAGAGCAGAGCAAGGATTTCTAAATACCAGCGTGCCCCAGGTTGTGCCCGCTGCCCGTCTCGCTCCGTCCCTGCGGCCGGCAGCTCTCCCTGTGGCCAGAGGTTTGGCTGGCAGCTGGCAGGATCCAGCTGCCAGCTGGAGAGGCAGCAGTGCCTGTTCCTGCTGTGGAAGGGGGCGGCTGCACAGCAGGATCACAGCGTGGCAGGGATCACAGCGTGGCCGTGGGCAGCGCCGCTGTCGCAGGAGTTGGTGGCAGTGGGAATCCAGAGGCTGCCGAGCTGCTGCCCTGCCTGGCAGCCTGGGACCCTGCCCGTGGCACCCAGCGGCATGCTCAGATGGAAAACCTCACCGCCCGTTTTTCCTGCTGGGAGAATGGCAGTCAGGGGGTGCTTTTGGCCGGCAGAGCACTCGGGCACTGCTCAGCACCTCGGGCTGGGTTAGAGTCACCAGCCCTGAGCCTGGTGCCAGCCCGAGCCTCGGTGCTGCCCTGTGGGAGCAGAGCCTGCCTGTGGAGCGAGGGTGGCTCATCCTCAGCAGAGGCAGGAGGCAGTGGCTGAGCCTTGCCAAGCCCTGGCCTCACCCCACTGCTGCCAGCGGGAGGGACACAGGAGTGTCAGCTGTCACCCCTCTGGAGTGAGGCAGCAGGCTGGGACAGGCTCCTGAGGGATTGCCAGCCCTGCACCCGGGATGCTGCCCTGGCTCTGGGAGCAGCCTGCATGCCAGGCACGGGGGGCAGGCAGGACTCTGTGCTTGCAGACCAACCTGCTTGCTCTGGGGTCGTTCAGCTTCCCAGGAGAGCCAGGGACTGGTTGCAGGGTGTCTTGTCGTGCGTTTTGGGCACGATTCCCCTTTTTGTGGATCCTGGGGGAAGTTACTGGTGTGTTCTGGCAAGCGCGGGGACCCAGCTGTGCTGGGAGCTGCACAAGCAGCCAGGCCTGCTCAGAGCTCCGGGCAGACAGATTATTATCTTGATTTAACATCTGACAGCTCCCATCCTGCTCGGAGAGGCCAGCCCAGGCTGCCAGCAGAATCACTCGGGGGTTGGTCGCAGCATCCTCTGTCTCAGCCCAGATCACCCCGCCTGCTCCCCTTCCTTCTTTCCCATTCCAAACCCGAGCCACTCGACCTTTCCGTGGTGAGGATGTGCTGATGGCCCTGACCCACACGAGAGGAGCCTGTGATGGCTCCAGGAGCACAACCAAAGGCAGGAGAGCAGAACCAAGGGCTAGGAAGAGAGGAGCCGGCAGCTCCCACTCGTTCTCTCCCCTCCCAGCTCTGCTTTGGGCTCCCTTGGACTCAGCACAAGCAAGCCCTGACCCCAGAATGGCTGCAGTTTGTGCTGTCTGCTGAAATTTATTTGAAATGCCACTCTCCAGGACCATTTCTGAAGCAATTTGCTGTTCAGCCTGGCTGGGAAGAGCCCTGAGCAGGCTCGTTCATTCAGCGCCTGCGATATTGACTCTTCTCTTTACTGCAGGATTAGAGAGCATTTGTCATCTCCAAAATGAATAACTTTTCCTCTCCTGGGAGGGGGGAGAAGCCTTGCCTCAGTACTGACATTTTGCACACCCAGCCCACAAACCTGCTTCAAATCCCAGATGATGATCTGGGAATTAAACCAGGGCCTTCAGTGTCTCTGTTCCCTGGGCAGAGCAGGGCCCACCCTGCACTAAATCTGAGCTCCAGAGGGGGAAAGGGGAGCTCTCACCTGTCCAGGTACCAGCCCCATGCTTGTTCCTGCCACACAGCCCAACAGAAACTCAAGTGCCCCAGGGACAAGCCACAGCCTCAGCTCTCAAGACAGAGGAGCTGCATTAAAAAACAAACAAACAAAAAAAAACCCTTAAAAATCAGAGCAAACCACCCGGCAGCACCAGAATAAGAAGGCAGAAGCTCAGACTTGCCAACTCATTGTCTAGAGCCCGACCAGTTCTCCTTCCTGTCCTGGAGATCACAGCACTCAACTCACAAACTCACCCTGTTTGTCATTTGAGCTTCCAGAGGTGTTTTCAAGTCTTTCTCAGGAGGTCCAGGAACCAGCAATGCTTTCCCGTGGGAATTTCAGCCTTTGTTAACAGGACTGCGTTCCCAGGAATGAAAGCAAGAGAAACAAACTCCAGCTGTTGCAAGATTTGGAAGAGCAGAGCCACGAGCATTGCCAGCAGCAACCTTTCCAAGGGGCTGCACCACCAAAGCACCAAGCACGGCTTCGGGGTTGCTGCATTGCTTTGGAATTCCTCTTACCTGGAAAGGAGCTGCTCTGGGGCCAGGAGATCCAGCCCAGGTGGGATACAGCCAGCCTTCCATGGGAGCAGCTACAGGGCTAGGCACCTGCCCCTCCTCCTGCCACCAGGGAGGCACGAAGCTCAGCCTGGAGGTGCAGCAGGAGAGACCTGGGAGCTGCAGAGCTGCTGGGTGCAGGATGAGATCCAGGTGGATGGGGGCTGGAGAAGTATCCCCTCGCCATAAACCTGAGGATGGTGCTGGCCAGGAGCGCTGGGAAAGGACCTGGAGGCTTTGAAGAGCAGAGTGTTCTCCAGGCTGTAATTAGCCACTGGCTTCCCCCACCCCTGATTATGCAGAGGAGGGAAATGGCAGAACCCACCAGTCTGCCGGGGAGGGAGGAGGCTGCTGCAGTCCTGCCCCTGCTGCAGCGGGGTCCCTCTGCCACCCCGGGGACCCCCTGCCACCCCAGGGTCCCAGCCCTCCCTCTGGGCACTGTCTGGGATCAGCACGTGGGTAAGACCAAGTCACAGTCTGGAAAGGGATTTCCTGTGGGTCAGGGCTGCTGCAAGATTAATTAATTCATTAACTGGAGTCAGCCCAGAAAAGGAGGATGTGATGGCAGGAGCACCTGGATGCTGCCGGCCCACTGTTCTCCTGAAGGGCCATCTGCACCCCTGGGGATGTCAGGCCTTTGCAGGAAAGCCCAGTGACATTCCAGCTCCTTTGGAGGGCACTTCCAGTGCTGCTTTAGGGACGGTTCTGGATGCAGCCCTTGGACAGGCTCCAGCACCCTGGGGCACCAGCTTTGGGCTGCTGTGACTCCCCAGCCTATGCCAGCACTCAGAAACCCCAGCCAAGGAGCAGTGGGAGAAGAGGTGGGGTTTTTATTTCCATGAGGTGGGGCACCCTGGCTGTTCCTGGCATGCAGAGGCTGAAGGGGCACCGGTGCCCCTCCCTGTGCCCTGCCAGGAGCCTCTTGTGCCATCAGCCTTCCCAGGCACAGCCACGCCGGGCTGTGGGAGTGCTTTGTTCCATCTTCAGCGATTTTCTCCTTTTTTGTTCTGCACTCAGCCTCGGCTGGGAGGAGGCTTTTCATTCCTTTTCTCTTCCTCTGCCCCAGCACAATGAGGGGAATGGCTGCGTGAAGAGCAACAGTGTTGGATTACAGCGGGATGCGGTGGGATAAGGCGGGTGTGCTGGGAAAGGCAGGGGGACTCTCACGGGAGCAAAGCAGGGCCGGGCAGGAGGGATGCAGGGCTGGGCACCGATGAAGGCTCACACCTGGGACTCTCAGGCAGCAAAGCAGGGCACTTGGGGCCGGGCAGGAGGGGTGCAGGGCTGGGCACCGATGAAGGCTCTCACCTGGGACTCTCAGGCAGCAAAGCAGGGCACTTGGGGCCGGGCAGGAGGGATGCAGGGCTGGGCACCGATGAAGGCTCACACCTGCGAGCCTGCGGGAGCCGGAGCTGCTGCCAGCCCAGGCAGACGAGCCCCTTCCCTTCGCAGCTCCCAGCAGCTGCTCAGCCCGGTGTGTGTGGGCAGCAGCGTGGCTCTGTCACATGCCTGAGCCAGCAGTCGCAGCCGGTGCCATCCCAGCCAGCTCCCGCTGCGGGCACAGCACCCAGGGGACACGGCGCTGCATAAGGGCTGTCCCCAGCCCCGGGCACCTGGGCTGTGGGCACAGCAGCCTCATCCCTCGCTGGAATAATGAGGTTCTCCTCAAGATACTCCCTCCTTCTGGCTGAGAGCTGCTCTGGTTCGGGGGGGGAGCTGTGTCGGCCATGCCGAGCCCCGGGGATGCTTTGTGTGTGTGCTGGGATGTAACAGGTTGGATGGAGCAGCTGTGGCTGCCCCTGCGTCCCTGGAGATGTCCAGGGACAGGCTGGATGGGGCTTGGAGCCAGCTGGGATGGGATGGGATGGGATGGGATGGGATGGGATGGGATGGGATGGGATGAGCAGGTGTTTGCCGCTGGCATGGCAGCCCCAGTTTGCAGAGCAAGCCCAGCCTGTCACATGCAAATCCCTGGATAAGTTCCTGCCTGCAAACAGGAACCACTTTATGGAAAGCAGCAGAGCCCTTCCCAAACTGCTCCAGCTGCCCCGGGAGCAGCTGGAGGCTCTGCCTTGCTCAGAGCTGGTTCGGGACAGCACTGCTCTCATCCAGCAGCGTTTCCCAGGTGATTCACCTCCACTCTGAGGGGGTCTGGGAAAGGAACGGGGTGTTGGCCCCATCCTCAGCTTTTTGGGAGCATGGTGCTGTGCCTCTGGCATCAGCTCTGCCCCTTCCCATTTCCAGGAATGGGGAACAGGGGGTCCCCAGTGGGTGGCTTGGGCACCGTTAGGACACAGATCTGCCCCAGCTGTCTGGGCTTGGGTGGATACTAAAGAAGACATTAGAGTAAATTAATTACTTAAATGACTTAATTATTTTTGAGCCATGACTTCTGTGCCAGCCTCAGATTCCTGTGGGCTCACCGTGATTTGAGTGCCGTGTTGGCAGGAATTGGTGACATTTGGCAGCAAGTGCCACCCTGAGTCCTCAGTCTCTCTGTGGGGAAGCCGTGGTCCTCCCTCCCAGTTCCTGGACACCCCCCTGACTGGTGTCCAGCACAGATCCCAGTACAATCCATGCTCTTTTGTCTCCCCAGCTCAGCACTGGACACTCTCCCTGAGCCGTCCCAGCCCCAGCAGCCCAGGGCACGCGGTGCCACTCCGTGACTTAGAGCAGGACTTTGTGACCAAGGGTAAGTGCCCAAATCCTTTGCATTGTCAGTAAGAGCTGCTTGAGAGCAGGGATTTCCCCTGCTCAAAGAACTTTATTCCTCTGAAAAAAACACACCTTTCCTTGCTGCTCCAGCTGGGTGGAAGCTGAGCACTCGTAGCTGCAGCAAAAACCTTGTTGGGGCAGGAACTTTTACAGGTTTAGGTCCACAGCTTCAGGAGCTGCTCAAGTAGTTGCCAGCAGGGAAGAGCCACGGAGGAGGCCACGCTATGCTCATTAAGTTTCTCTGCCACAGAGCCAAAAATCCACTGGCAGCACCACCAGCCATGCTGGGACCTGCTGGTGCTTCCCAGAGCATGACATGAGGGCACACAGCTGAGGGCAGGGGAAGCCACAGACCTTTAAAGGACCCTCTTAAAATAATTAGGAATTCTGGAGGGACAGATCCGTCTCCCCAAGGCCCTGAGCATCCCAAGTCCCCTCAGCTCTGCCAGTGCCACCAGGGTGGGCTCAGAGGTACCTGGGCAGGGACTCCCCAGCCTGCACAGACTGGAGCCTTTCTGTGCCCTTCTCCAAACAGAGAATACACAAACTGATAAATTATTGATACTCCAGGGCTCATCCCCTTGCCTGCAGCTTCTCCCTGGCTTTGGAGGTGCCCCAGAGGAGCAGGGGGAGTCAGAGCAGGGACCCTCCAGGCCCGTGTGGCTCTCGGAGGTGATCCCAGGCTTCTGCCAAGCATCAGTCAGGCATTAAAGCAGGACAAGAGCCTCCCCTGTCCCAGCCTCAGCTCTTGGGTTTTCCTCCCAGCTTCTGACATAACCAGGTCACTCTTTCCACACTTGCCCTGCCTCCGTGAGAGCCGATGACTGATGGGGCTGGACGTGACTCACCGCCTTTCCTAATGAGCGACTTTCCTCTGTTTGTGTGCTTTGGCGGGGCCTTTCCTACACCTAAAAAGGAGAAGGGTGGCACTGGGGAGAGGGCAGCGTGCTGGAAATTGCTGGCATCTGCTGTTCCTCACCATCCCTTTGAACTGTGGCCAGCTGTGAAGCTGCTGTGTTTGAGCACGGAAAAGGTGTAGCTCACCTTCCACGTGCTGCTCCAGGTGAGATGCTGTCCAGGCCCACAGGTAAACCCTTGGCCAGTAATCGGAGTTAATTAGGCTGAAGATTTTTTTTGTTACTATCTGTCCAGGCAGTGCCTGGGGGACAGCAGTAATGAGCACTGTGAGCCCAGCCCCACATTCCCCACGGAGCTTTGCCAGGCCACAGCAGGGCGAGCTGGGCTTTCCTGTTCCCTGGCACAGACACAGGTGAGGGACAGCTCCCCGCTCACGTGGCCTCGCTTGTGTTTTGCAGTGACTAAGCAGCGGGAGCTCTCGCTGTCCTGCCGCCACCAGGCCAGACAATCCCTCCCTTGGCTGCAGATCCCCTTGGCTCTCTTCCCATAATGGAAGCCTGAGTGCCAAGGATCCTCCATGACCTCCAGAAGCCACAACTCCCTGCCGAGAACTCTGATGGCTCCGCGAATGCTCTCCGAAGGTGCCCTGGGGGGCATCGCCCAGATCACGCCCTCGCTGTACCTGAGCCGGGGCAGCGTCGCCTCCAACCGGCACCTGCTGCTGTCCCGGGGCATCACCTGCATCATCAACGCCACCATCGAGATCCCCAACTTCAACTGGCCGCAGTTTGAGTACGTCAAAGTGCCTTTGGCTGACATGCCCAACGCCCCCATCTCGCTGTACTTCGACAGCGTGGCCGACAAGATCCACAGCGTGGCGCGGAAGCACGGCGCCGCGCTGGTGCACTGCGCCGCCGGCGTCAGCAGGTCGGCCACGCTCTGCATCGCCTTCCTCATGAAGTACCACAAGGTCTCCCTCTTCGAGGCCTACAACTGGGTCAAGTCGCGGCGCCCCGTGATCCGGCCCAACGTGGGCTTCTGGAGGCAGCTGATAGACTACGAGAGGAAGCTCTTTGGGAAGACCACGGTTAAAATGGTACAGACGCCCTATGGCATCATCCCAGACGTTTACGAGAGAGAGAGGAGACCCCTGATGCCTTACTGGGGAATTTAATGGGACTGCAGAGGGGAAGCACGACGGAGGGGACGCGCTGTTTCGAGTCCACCAGGCTGGAGATGTTCCCTTCTCCTTCTACAGCCAACTTTGGTTCTCCACCATACAGCAGAACCTCAATTCTCACCTCACTAACCTGCAAGGCCAACGATTCCCTTCAAAGCATTTTTCTCTACGGGGATTTCCCATCTGCATCTCTGATTTAGCAAAACCAGGTCTCATTATAAGTTTATTCCTTCCATAAAGCCTACGTCTATTTTTCCTTTTTTTAGTCAGTTTATTAGGATCCTGCGAGGAAGGGCCTCAGAGGCATTGGGCAGAGTGGATGGCCCAAGCGCGCTTTGTGCTGCAGTAGTAGCCTGGATATTTTGTTATAGCTTGTTTGCTTCCTTGCAAAACCCTGTAGTGGCTCAGGAGCAGCACTGGCGAGGCCCTGCTCCACAGCAGCAGGTTTTCCAAGCACCAGGGAGGCAGGAATACAGGGGCTGTGGTGCTGGTGTTTTCTTTAACACTCATAGTGACTCTCAGTATATAGTGTTTGAGATCTTTAGTCAGCTCTTAATCGTATTCAAAGTTAGGGGGAAAAAAGGGAAAAAACGAACAAACAAACAAAAAGATTGAATCAGTCCGTGTCGGCCACAAGTAAAATAAAAATTGAGCAATTCAAATCAAATAAATACAAGATCCTTTTTCACTCATTCCATGCCAGGGCAATAGCCCTGGAATACACTTCAACTGCTGGAAAATGCTGGTGTGTTTTGTGGGTGGAAAGTTGACAGATCTTGTCCAGAAGCGAGAGGGTTGAAGCCGCTGGGCAGCCAAAGAGACGCTCAGGAATGTGTGCATGGCCCCTGCCCGGGCTGGGCTGGGCTGGGCGAGCAGCATCCCGGCAGGCAGCCCAGCCCGGAGGGCTGAACCCCCCCGGGGAAGGGTGAACCCCCCCGGGGAAGGGTGAACCCCCCGGGGAAGGGTGAATCCCCGGGGAAGGGTGAACCCCCCCAGGGAGGGCTGAATCCCCCGGTTCCTCAGCTCCAGCTCCCCTCGGGTCCTGCCTTAGCCCATCCCTGCCTCTCTCCATTCCGTCCTCAAGGTTATGCTGCATTCCAGGGCTGCTCCTCTCTGTCCCCAGGGCGGTGACAGAGGCCTGGCCTTGCTTGGAGTGTGCCAGGAGCGACTCCAGCCCCAGCCCTTCCCTGGAGAAGCCTTCCCATGGCTCCAGGGGCAGGGACTGGTTCCTTGGAGTGTGACTGGAGCCCTGAGAAGGCACCAGAGTTTCTGTTGCCTCTGGAGGAGGAGCAGGCAGAGTGCTGCGATCGCTGTCTGATTTAAATGAGATTCTATACTTGTAAAAAAAAAAAATCAATAAAGATTAAACCAGAACATGTGTTGGTTTCCTGTTCCAAACTGTGCTAGTGGAGCTCCAGCAGCAGCCTGAGGCCCAGCAGTGCCTTTAAACAGCTGGAGGATGTTTTCTCCTGCTTTTCCCCGTGAGTTTTGCCCCCCTGAAATGAAGGTGAGGTTTGCCATCAGCTGCTCCCAGCTCAGGTTCCATGGCTGCATCCCAGTTCCAGTGGCAGGCAGACACACAGACTCAGCTCCCAAATTTATCAGGAGTTAAACTTCAGCCAGGGAAATGGTAAGCGAGGAACTAGAGAGTGAAAATCAAGATTAATCATTGCTTTGGAGACGTTCCAACACATGACATTTTAAAGGGGAAAAAATGCTAAAAACTGAAATCTGCTCACAAAATTAAACTTTACCTAAAAATGGGCAAAGCAGGGTTTAGCAGCATTTCTGGTATAAAAAATGGAAGGTTAAAAATTCTCCACTTTGAATTATTCTTTAGATTTTATGCACACACGGACCGAGGGGAGAGGGAGATGCTGATGTTCAGCCAAGAAGGCACCAAAGGCTGGCTTTAAACACAAGGCAAAGTTAGACCTACAAAAAGTGAAATTGCTTCATAAAACACAAGAGGAAACAAGAATTCACCTGAAATCCCCATTCAAAGTTATACTGCAGTCTTAGTGCTTGTGGGGATTTCACTGCAAAAGCTCCTCTTGTATTCACTACAGCAGAAGATTTTACACAAGTGTTTTCCCCCTCAAAATCCAGGTTTTTCTCCATTCTCATATCTACAGAAACCATAGGAAAAAGAGCCCTGGTTTAGCTTGGATTGCTCTGAGCACACCCACTGGCTTTGAGGGGAACACCCCTTTCTCCTGCTCCCCACAGGCTTTTCCAAATGGTGTCTAAATTGTCTGAAAAATATTTTATACCTTCCAGTATTTGGTGAGACACCTTCCCCACCCCAGGCACAGAGCAGGTTTCACTTACATTATGATATAAATATTTCAGCTTCCCAGGCTGGTCAGATATGAAACGAGCTTTTTATTGAACACCAGGTTTGAATCTCAACACAGGATTTATAAATCATTGCAGGAATTAAGGGAGTAAACAAGGTACTAAAGTCAATTAATAACACTTATTCTCACTGGATCTAAAATATCAGCAGCAACTCCAGCACAGCACAAACCCAAACAGCTCCAACTAATAATCACAAAACCACTTCTGGAAGAAAAATAACATTTGCCCAGAGGGCAGGAGAAGAATCACAATAGAAAGAGAAGTCTTCTGATTGCTCTTCTTCACAAAACTATGACATTCCCATTTTAACATTGAGAACTGGAATTAAATACAGGTGCAGAATTAAAAGTAAATCCAAAGCAGCAGTTTGTACAATAGCAGCTTTCACTGGAAAGGCAGGTTTTGTTTCAAGTCTGATTCCCACTCAGCTGACAGGACTCCATGGGTGCCCACGAGCTCCTGCTCAGCCCACACCAGGAGGGAGCTCAGGGCAGGAGCTGCTCCCACCAAACCCAGCCAGGAGGAGCTGCTGCCAGGCAGGAAAAGTCCTTGGGATGAATGGTGAGCGCAGGAGGTGACAATGCCAGGGTGCCCTCCGGGGGTGACAATGCCAGGGGTGACAATGCCAGGGTGACCTCCGGGGGTGACAATGCCAGGGGTGACAATGCCAGGGGTGACAATGCCAGGGTGACCTCCGGGGCTGCAGGGACTCAGCCAAACACCAGGAGGGAGGAGCAGGGCAGAGGCTGGAGGGGTGACAATGCCACAGGTGACCTCCAGGGGTGACAATGCCAGGGCACAGGTGACCTCCAGGGGGGACAATGCCAGGGTGACCTCCAGGGGTGACAATGCCAGGGTGACCTCCGGGGGTGACAATGCCAGGGTGACCTCCGGGGGTGACAATGCCAGGGGTGACAATGCCAGGGTGCCCTCCGGGGGTGACAATGCCAGGGGTGACAATGCCAGGGTGACCTCCGGGGGTGACAATGCCAGGGGTGACAATGCCAGGGTGACCTCCGGGGGTGACAATGCCAGGGTGACAATGCCAGGGTGACCTCCGGGGCTGCAGGGACTCAGCCAAACACCAGGAGGGAGGAGCAGGGCAGAGGCTGGAGCAGCCCCCAGCAGCAGGGGGAAGCTGCCAGGGCAGGGGAGCACCAGGAACACCACGGGGTTAAGCCATAAATACATTAAATAACCGAGCAAATGGTTCCTCAGAACTGCCACTGTACACAAAGAGACACAAACCCCACTCACCACGGGTCACGCCAAGGCAGCCCCTTTTGTCTGCCTAAAAAAACAAAGAAAATCTCGTTTCTCTTTTCCAGTGAGAGAATCCATGCAGGAAAAGGAGTTACAGGTCTGAAATTGGACCCAAGCAAAGGGAAGGCAGCGTGTCCTGCAGCAGAGGCAGCGGGGGAAGGTGGGCTGTGACAATCCTGTCACCTTGGATACAGCTTGGAAGGACACTGGGCTTTGGCTGGCAACAACATCCGAGGATGCTGAATGCTCCAGTGAGTCATTGGAATGACTGGGATCTGCAGCTGATCCTTCCTGGGCACTGCCTTCACCCAGGGGATCTCCATGCAAAGCCTCCCTGTGCTCCCCTGGCTGAAGCTGCTGGCAGCAGAGCCCTCCCTGCCCCACGAGGACAGGGATGGTGCCTGGGAGCAGGAGAGCAGCAGTGTCACCCTTCAGTGAGCTCTGCTGCAGATGGAATTGTAAAATGTCCTTTCCCTTTTTTTATGGGCCAAAAGACACCTTGGCTGCAGCTCAGAGAGGGGCTGAGCTGGTAACAGGTACAGAGAAACCAGCATGGAAGATGCTCCTGTGACAACGCAGCAGCTGCTTTCACATTTCACACCATGGCCTCTGATCTGTGGCATTTTCTTTCAATTAAGGGGACAAAATTCCTCTCTAGCAAAGTGCTGGGGAGCTGTGGTGGCTGACAGTAAAATCCTTTTTCCCAACACAGCATTCCCAGCCTCTCCCATCACTGGAGAACACCTGCCAGTGGCTCCCTGTCCCCAAACTCCTGTGGGAACTCTGGTGAGGGGCACAGCAGCCTCACTGTGCTGGAAAACAAGCTGTGGTGCTGGAGCTCCAAAAAATGAAAGGGAGAGAAGCAAGGAGTTGTTTCCCTGCTTTTTTTGGTAATTGCTGGGCAGGATGTGGGAAGCACAGCACGGGAAATCTGCCTCTGGATCAGCTGGAGCTGCAGGCACACGGTGCTTTATTTCATGAATGAGCTAATTTGAGGCAGCAAGGAGATTTATTGTAATTGGTGTAAGGAAGGAGCCAGACACCTCTGAGCCAAGATTCTTTCATTTGGGCTAATTAATAGTTTCGTACAACTAAGCCTGTTTGTTTTTTAAATACAAAGCATCGTTTTCCTCATTGTAATTTCTGTTTCAGCAAATAATCACAGGTCAGTGTCAGGTACTTGTAATGGGGGCAGGATTAACTTGGAGAAGCTGTTGAGCTCTCTGGAGGAAAGGAACAGATCTGAGAGACTAAGCCAAAGAATTAAGGAGAAAGTAGTGCCCTGTGGATTTACAGCCCACCTCATTCCCTGCAGCCCTAGACAGGGTTGTGGGGTGTCCCTTGTAACACCATGAAGCTCCCCCAGGGTTAAAATCCTGTAACCAGCACTCCATTGCCTGCACTGTCCTCTGGATACCGGATCTGAAGGAGGAACCAGGTACTTTAGATGTACAGGTAACATTCAGTGAGAGTCTGTGACACAAACCTGTCCAGAGAGGCACCTGCAAAAGCCACAAACAGCAGGGACACAAAGCCTGCTTCAAACACAGCTTGCTGAGACCACCAAATTCCAGGGTTAATTCCCTCTGGGTGTTAGATCCCACTCCCTGCTGCAGCAGCCAGGGGCCACCTTGTGCTGCCAGCTCTGAGTCACAGGAACACGTTGCTACAGGTAGCAGCAGACTGCAGGAGTCACACACAGCCATCCCATCATCAGCAACAGCATCTCCACAGCCAAAAAAGGGAAAGAATCTCCACAGCAGCAGATGTGCTGCCTCAGCAGAGTCCAGCTTCCAGCAGTGCTGCAGCCACACAGCTCCCAAAAGGTCAGGAGAGACAAAACCCAGCCTGGAGCTCAGGACAAATCCAGGGAAGTTTATCTGTATTTACAACAAAGACTGTGAGTTTTAAACTCCAGCTGCCTGCACTACAGAATCCACACAGCACAGGGAAAATGACAGCAGTTTTCCAGTGCTCACCTTCCAGCACTAACCAGTTCTGATCAAGCACAACTTCCACCACAGAGCACTGGAAGCACAAACACCCAGCAGCTTCTCCTTCTGAGTCAACAATTCATTCTGCCTGGATGCTGCTGTGACTCATGGGCTGTGATATCACAGCAGCAAATACTTAAAGAACATCAAGGTCTGTGTCCCAAAAACGTTAAGGAAAAGATTTGCTTGCAAATACAGACTTCAAGTATTTCAGTGGTTGTTTCTGTGCAAATGAGCCCAGCATTCCAGGCTCTCTGGGAAGTTCCATGCTGGCCTCTCCCATGCACATGGTTACAGCTGCTTTTGCACAAGATAATGTTTTCATCTTCACAAAGACTGAAATGCCACTTTCTTTTGTTTTCTTTTTTTGCCATACTACATATCCAGTTATTCCTGAAACCTTGGCCATTACAAGTGAATTCTTCACCATCTGTAACAGTGGCTTTAATCCATTGATTTTTGGACCAAAAATCAAGCCCAAAGGTTTCAAACCTGGCCCAGCTGCAGCCTCTCCACAGAGCAGTTACCCCAGGTCCTGCACAGTGACACCCAAAGCTCCACCTGCAGTGCAGCTGCTCTCAGAGCAGGTCTGGCAGGATGAGACCTGGGGGTTTGGGCTCCACACAGTTGATCCAGAAGTTGGCACAGCTGGCGTGGTACTGGTGCCCTCCATATGCCAGCTTGAAGTTATCTGTCTCAGAATTAAAGGCCTGCAAGAAGAATTGAAACAAGTGTGAGAGTCTGGTCCCCTCCAGGCTCTAAACCGTGGGAAACAGCCCAGGACTCTCCCCTGAGCACTCCACCCCATCAATTCCATTTGATTTCAGTTGCAGGAGGACAAAACCTTCAGCCATCACACCTGAGCCAACCTAGACCTGCAGGAGGAGCCCTGGCCTGACCCCTGCCAGCTGACTCACCTTGTTCCCTGCATCTCCTGCTTCTGCTCCATCTCCCCACCAAAGGAGAAGCTTGCCCTGCTTGCCAGCAGACAGCTCCTGCATTTATTTCCCTGGCTCCATCCAGCCTGGCTGTGGGTTAGGCAGGTGCAATTCTTGCTATTAGTGTTATTCCAGGTTGAATTTGATCTGCTTTCTCCTGTTAATTGAAGCTGCTTTACAACAGGAGCCTGTGAGTGTGTGAAGCCACGAGCAGGCTGAAACCACCTTGCTGTTTGTTGCTAGGAGATATTTTCCAATGCCTCACAGCTCCCTATTTAAAAAAAAAAAAATATCCCAGCCCTGCTCTCCACACCCTGGATTTCCTGCAGAGATTTCTAAAAATGCCACTGCCTGCTACACAAAGCCAAAAGTCAATATTTCTAGCACAAAGCCCCTGAAATCCCCCCTCTGTTGCTAGAGACACCCAGGCAGCACAAACTCAGGAAGTCAGGGATTTTCTACCACACAACAGAAGGAGCACAAACCCAGAGAGCTGGGCACAAGGCACAGGCATGCAGACACACAGGGGCAGGCTCTGGAGCATGTTAGTTGGTCAGATCAAGAGTTAACGGCCACAAAACACGACTGGAGAAGAGGATTAATGATTGGTACAATTGAAATGACAGCTGAGAGCCCATCAGCAGCTCAGCCTTCCACACTCAAGAAGAATGAGTCTAGAAAGAATGTTTTTTACAGGTTCATACTTTTTTGGGAAGTTCTTCCACAGGTTTCTCTTCTTTCTGAAATAACGTTGAAACCAAAAAAAAGTCAGGAAAAGTGCCTCTAGTTTGAACTGGCTGGCACAGCTCTGCACATGTCCTGGGAGGCCCTCCCAGCTCTGCTAGTGGCAACAGTCCCCTCTGGTGAGCCATTTCATAAAGAAAAGTCATTAAAAATTTTTTATTTGTTAAAAAAGTATGTATTTTTAAATCTCAGTATGCCAGTTTCTTGCCCATTAGGAACAATTAAACTCAACCCTTTCTCCACAGCTGTGTCACACCAAAGCCCAAGGAACACTGGACATTCCATTATAGGATTTTACTGAGATCCAGCTACAGGTCAGAGTTTACAAATTATAACCAGGAATTTTATTTTTCAATGCACCCTGGCATTGGTGCCCAGGGCCAGGCTGGGCAGCCTGGGACAGTGGGAGGTGTCCCTGCCCATGGCAGGGGTGGCACTGGGGGGGCTTTTTAAGGTCCCTTCCAACCCAAACCAGTCTGGGATTCTACAAATGGAAGCCCAAAGTGTAAATTCAGAAGGAGTTCCAGCAGCACACACTTACTTTGCTTCTGGAGTCCACGTTTAGGAGACACACTCCACAGGCAAGGTCCTGGGCGTTTTTAATCCCGGGGCGCAGCATGCAGGAAGAGAAATCCAGGGAGTTTTCATCTGGCTGAAGAAAGCAGACAGGAACTTTCAGGCATTTTCAGTGCCTGGGAAGGTTTCAGACATCACAATAAAAATGACTGAGCACCAAGAGCCAGCGTGTCCCGTGGCATGGCAGGGTGACAACTGACAGAGCTGTCAGGGTGGGTTTGCCATCTCCACCCATTTCCAACACTCCAAGTCTTCAGAAAGGCCTCAGCTACAAAGGAAGGAATTCTTGAGCTGCACATTCCCACATCCAGAGGGGAAGGAGCACTGGGAGCTGGGGGAAGGCAAACAGAGGATCTGCAGGGGTTTGTGCAGCTGTGGAGGGAGCTCTCCCTAGGGAGTGGCTGCTGCAGGGTTCATTCCCCTGGATCCCTGGTGTTGCCTCAGCAAAAAAGGGCACCTGGTTGTCTCTTTTTGGGCTTTTTTTTGAACCTACAATATGGCAGAGCAGTACAAAATGGGATGTTAAGGTTAACCAAACCATGGAATTCAGGCCAGCAGCCACACACATGCTCAGGTTAAAGACAGGCAAAGGGTGGGAGAATAAACCTGTAAATAACAAATTATTGTGGTCACTTTTCCAGGACTCAATCTCACATTTCAGCCACAGGATGAATGATCAATTAAAACACTGCATAAAGATGACATAAAACTGTTCAAATTTTGCACTGAAGACAGTAATGCAAATAAAAGCAATGACTAGAAATGCAAGAAGCTTGCATCCCAAAAACTGTGGGATCCCAGGCCATGTGTGTCTTAATGCACACTGTGGGTGTGCTGCTCACACTGCCCTGCTGAATGGCTGGAGAGTAACTGGAATCCTGAAAAAAACACCCCTTAATCTCTAAGCAGATCAATCAAATTAATAAAGGCACTCTGATATTTGTTTACCAAATGCACGAGTGAAGCAAATGACAAGGTCATCCTGCAATTTGCTGCGGAAAAACCACAAGGCTGTGCATAAAATTACCTTGTAACAAAATCCTTTAAAAGATGAAATTAACCTTTCCAAGAGCATGCCCGGGAGCTGGGATCCTGCTCTGCAGTTAATTGGCATTTCTGCACCACTTAGGATCCTGTAACAGCAGAGGTGGGGCTTCCACCCCTCCCAGTGAACCCCGTGGGGAAGAGAGGCAAGGTCAGGGGTGATGTGGAGAATTGCAGGAGCCACAGGAATTTACACAGGTTTGTGTAAATTCAGCTGGACTCTGTGTGCAGGTGAGAAGTCACTGCTGCAGCTGCAGCACGAGCCAGGAGCTGCTGTGGCTCAGAGAACAGGGCCAGGCTCTGGACTTGCAGTAATCCCTGTAATCTTCCAAGGAAAAGCACTTTAGCAACTGTATTTTAATCCACCTGTTTGAATTAGGAAAGGATCCTGACAGCTCCTGGGATTGCTCCTCTCAGCAATGCCAGAGCTCAAACAGGTGAATCCAGGCCTAGCAACTTCCTCTGCCAGGCAGGAAAATGCTGAGGATATCAATTTCCTTGGATGGCAGGCTCTGTGCATCACCAAAACACCTGGGGAGGTTCAGAATGTGCAAAAGGTGTGTAAAAAGGGACTGATCACTCATAATACCTGCCTTGCAGGGAATGACAGTGAGCTGCAGATGGGCATTTCAAGCAGAATCCAAGAATTCCAAGCCTTGCCTATAAATGAGTGTTCATTGGGAAGGAAAAAACCTTTTGTGGCCACAGCTGCAGTGCAAGGAGGAAGCCACAGATTAAAAATCTCTGAGGAAGCCTCCCCATGGTGATGATGTGCTCAGTGATGCTGGGGGGTGTGCTGATCCTGAAGGCTCCTTGGACAGGCACAGAGGGATCCATCCACTGTGTCACTCAGTAGAAAGCACACAAAAATGGGGGATTCCCTAAAATGATGAGTTTGTCCTGGTTAAAGGAAGTGATTTTGCACATTGTATCTCCTGCAACACAAACCCCACCAGGTATTTAATGTCAGGGTGGTTTTCCTGCTTTCTATTCATGTCTGTTCTGTGCCCCTCTCTACCCCAGCTCCTCTGCAGACCCTTCCCAAGGGATGCTCCTGCTCCAGAGGGGCTCCCTCACACCATCCCTGCCTGTGTCCCTCACCCAGCCATGCCCAAAGCTCTCCAGCTCCTACCAGCCTGTCTGGGAGCTTTTCCTGGCAGTGCAGAGCAGGAAAAGCTGTTTAGTCTGTGGCAGGAACCAAAACAAACTCGGGCATTTCCAAATGCAGAGAGAAGGGAAAACAGTTCAGTTGTTCCTGTGTTGCTCCACTGTGTGTTATGGAATTGTGAGCATTAAAGCCAATTGCAGGGATATTAAAAAAACAAGACGTGTCCCTGTCATTCTGGCTTTGTAAAATGGCTTATTTGGATTTTATTAAATTTGCCTTACTGGAGATGCCCACAGACACCCAGGACATCACCTCAATCCCTGAGGTACCAAGTAAAACAACATCCTGTCTGTGCATAAATAGCAGTTTTCTCAGAGGGGTTTAAACTGGCTTTCACAAATAAGTTCATTTCCATTCTCCAAGACAAGAAACACAAACAGTCAACTCAGCACACGCAACAAAGCCTCTTTAAATAAAATTATGACATTTGTTTTAGCAACCAGGCAGCTTATTTGGGTCTTACCGTCAGAGCAGCCAGGGACATGAAGCTGATCAGGTTGTTCCACACTTTATCAATATCCTTCAGCAGCTGCTGCAGCTTCTCACTGCACACAGCAGTTGCTTTGATGCCCAGCTCCACCCTCTTTGTCACTCTGTAGACTTCAACAACCCCTGTGGATGTAAAAGAGGGAAGCAGAGAATGCACTGGAGCCCCAGCCCTGAACTCAGAAATGGCAAAAGCAGAGTGGCACAGGAGGGGGGGGCAGTTCAAAGCTGGAGTTACATTTATTTGCCAAATAATTTGGCATTTATTTGAAGTTACATTTATTATTCAGAGGCAGGCAAAAATTAGGATTTCAAATAATGCCATCTGGGGAAGAGTGATTCTGTATTCCTGGTTTTTAGGGAAGAACTTTCAGTGTAAAGCACTGTAAAGTGGAAAATGAAAACATACCCTGTAAATATTCCATGCCTTGGGCAGACTGGATAACTTCAGTGCAAACAGATGAACTGCTGATTCCATTTAAGGTGTCATTGGCTTTCTTTATGACCTGGTGGGAATGAATTTCATAAAATGATGGGGTTTCTATCTTCAAATAATCATTACAAACAAGATTACCCCCAGCAGAAGCTGTTATTCAGAAAAGGAGAAAAATTAAACAAGAAATGATTGCCACACTCCATCACATGTTTTATACACTCCTGCTTAAGTAGATCAGGGGAAAGTATGAACATTTAAAACCTTAATGTATTCCCCCCAATAGTTTCATTACCAAAATAAGAGTTTTAAGAGCATGTCTTGCTTTCTAATTTAATAAGAGCATTCACAGTCTGGGCTCTCTAATACTCAAATGCAAAGAAGAAATGTTCAGGAGCACTGATCTGGCTGTGAAATATCTCACAGCAGCACATGAACAGGCCCTGGGCAGTGCACACCAACAATTCTGTCCCTCAGGCAGCCCTGAGAGCCAGGCTCTGGTACCAGTGCCCTGAGCACACAACACTGGGCACCAAACACAGAACAACCCCCTAAGCAGAGAGCTGGAATATTCAGGGAGAAGCCAAACTAATCCCCAGGCACAGGGAGATCAGTGTAGGGTGTTTAGCTGAGGAGGTGGCAGCTTTTGGTTTAAAAACTGCAACTCCCAGGGCTGATTCCCACACTTCCTCTGCCTGCTGGTGTCAAACACTGAGGGAGGCAGGTCCTGCAGGGAGGAGGGAAGGATCTGGAGGAGGAGGAGCAGCCACACTCACCTGCAGGGCACTCTCCAGGCACCTCTGCCACTCGTAGGCGTACCTCTCACTCTCCTAGAGCAAAGAGAAGGACAGGCTCAGTCTTGTTCCTACACACATTTCTCTCCCTCTCTCCTACACAACAGACACACAGCAGACAGGTAGTTCAAAAGACTATTTGCAGATCAGCTGTGTGAAGTTTTAATGGATCTGTTCCTAATTTCTCCCCATTCTTTTAAGATTCTTTATGCACCTGAACTCTAAAATTTGATTTCTGGGAGTGGGAATGAGTTTCAAAAGGAAAATGTATAAGGGTGGGTAAAAGGTTTCATTGCACACACCTCCTCTTGACACATTTGTTACAGTCTGCTGTTCTAGCAATGGGGATTAGCAGAATTTAATCTGAGTCCTTCTCCCATCTCTTCTCAGGATGAGCAAAAGAAACAACTACACACAGCCAAAAAGCGATGCCATTTCCCAAAGCAAACTGTCTCTGCCAAAGCTGGGATTAGATTTAAACTGCAACTCATTTCCAGTCAAAAGCTTAGGCTGCAAGGTCAAGTGATTCTGTGTTTCAGACAACATCCTGTGTTTTCCCACTTCCCTTTGAAGATGTGAGAGAAGAAACTTCCAGGTCCCACTCACAACATCCGACTGCACCCGGACACATCTCACAGTCACGCCCACATTCAAGCAGGCAAAGCCCCAAAAAGTGGGATACAGAAGCCCCCTGATGGCAGTGGCAGCCCAGGTGTGCTCCAGAGAGCTCCTTACCTCCACCTCCCCAGTGAGGTCCTTGTACTTGTCCCTGATCACGGGCAGGGCTGGCTTCTCGCTCAGCGTGTTCGAGCGGTCCCTGAACGGCTGCTCCAGGGCTGCCAGAGGGGAGGAACGGCTGATTTCTCTGTCCCCCAGGCTCAGGCTCCTCTTATGAGACCCTAAAAAGTCAGGTTGTAAAAAGTTATTCCTTCACTCGAAAGACCCAGGCTATTTAAAATGAATGAAGTGGCAGCAAGGGTTGTCCCGCTCCTCCAGAAGAACAAATATTTCTCTTTACTCAGTGACTGCTGCAGATCTCCCCAAGTCCCTCAATTCTTACAGGTTTTTGGCCCAACAAATATTTCCCTTGTAGAAAAAGACCTGCTCCAAATGCCACAGAAATCAATGAGAAGATTCAGGTCCTTTCCAGCAGCCTTTGGAACAATCCCCATTAACTAATTTATAATTCAATTAGGAGAACCAGCCTTTGATGAGCACATGCATCATGAGGTTCCTCCACGGTGGGCAGGCTTACCTTGCACAGACAGGTCAAAGGTGGCCAGCTCACTCTTGATCATCTCCTCACTGGATTTCACCTTGCCTTGGGAAGTGGCCACCAAGAAGTCGAACTTGCTGATTTTTGGTTTTTCACTTTGGAACTCTCCGAAGTCGTCCGTGGCCTCTCTCCGCAGCTCAGAGGAGGCTCCAGCGAGGAAATCGGCGCCCAGGGCCGTGTCAGCCGCTGCTGCATCCTGAGCTTCCGAGGGAAGCCTGGCAAAGTCCCCAAAATCCCCGACGTCGTCGTCGCCGGCACCGCTGGAGACCGGCCCCGACTCCTTAAAGTTGGCGAAGGCTGCGAAGGAAACATCCTGCAGAGCATCCTCGCTGGAGAAGGTTGTCACTTTGGAAACCGTCGTCATGGTGATGTTTTCCGAGCTGCCAAAGAAGGTCTCCTTCTTCTGGAGGACGGCGGTGGCCGCCGAGGAGCCGCTCGCCGAGAGCCGCTTGCCCTGCTGGCCTTCGTCCCTGTCGGAGCCGGAGCAGTCGTAGCTGGCCAGGCTGCTGACTGCAGAGCCACTGTGACAGCTTCCAAACGGGCCACCCTTTAAGTCATCCACATCTGAAACAAACCCCCACAATTAGGAGCTGAAGTTCAAAGCCCTGAACTCTCCACGCCGCCTAAGAACGACTCGCTGAGAGCCTGGAGGAACTGCAAGGACAAACACAGGGAACTGCGGTCGCGCTGAGGCTTCGGCTGGAGTTTGCACAAAAAATAACCTGGAAAATACCTGAGCGTTTCATACAAAAATTTCTGAATACAAAAATTCATTCTTTCTCAATGAATGTAAGCCTTGACCTTTGAATGCCGCCTTACATTTTAAGCTGAAAGTCACCATACTGCTATGGTAGTGAAGAAACACTAAAAAAAAACCCAAAAAAATGAGTTTCTGGCCAGTCCAGGCTGCACAGATCACCAGCTGAGTTTTCTGGCTGCAGAATCTACAATCAAAATATAAATGTTACAACTCAAACACCTTTAATGCGTTATTTCATCTTATCAAATCCAACCACACAGGAGACTGGCCTGGCTTTTCCATTCCTCTGATAAAGTATTAATACACTTTAATTTCATATTCATGCTTTGATACAAATAACATGTAAAAATGTGCTGCAAGGATCTAAAAAAGCCTAGAAATCCTGTTTGAGCTTATCAGGGCTCCTGCAGTGCTGCACGGCCGACTCGTCAAACTTCCAGGTGCCAGCACTGACAGGGATATTGCAGAGATCATGTTTTAACTGAATAAATAGTTTGTAAAAGCTAAATCTAGAGAAAATCCAATTATTTTGCAGAAAGCTCTAAACATTTATACCCACCTGGTGATTACATGGGCCAATAGGTTCTTCTCCCTGGCAGGGGCAGGTGTGAGATCAGAGGGGGCTCTGGCTGCTCCCACCCTGCTGATCTGTCACCTCCAGAGTGACACTGATCCCCAAAGGCACAGGGAGCCAGGGCTGGGCAGTTTGCACTAGAGCATGAGCCCCCCATCCCAGCAAACCAGCCCTCCTACCCTACTCCTGGCATTTGTTTTCCAGCAGGAACAATTTGTTTTCCAGCAGGAACAACTGTCAGTTTGGATTGCCTGGGCCTGGCAGCTGCAGGAACAGCAAACCAGACCATGGGAAGTTTTCCCTGAGCCTCCCTGGGGCTGAGATCCTGGTGCTGAACACCAAGGGATGAACAGGCTGGCACGCTGGGCTCTGACAGGGAAAACAAGCTGAATTCCCAGCTCTCCTTTTCCTCCACTCCAGCCACAGCAGCCCGAGGATGAAACCATTCTAACAACCCATTTCTGCCTTGGTTTATTCATCTCACTGGAGGGGGAGAGCAGGCCAGGCTCCAGGCTGCTTCCCAGGCATGACCCACACACGTGGCTGATGAAAAACCTGAGCCACACAGCGTGTCATCCACCAGCCCCTCCTGCAGCTGCCACCTTGTCCTGCCAGCACCCCAAAGCCAGAGCTGAGCCCCCTGCTCACACATCTCCGAGTGCCCCTGGAAGTGTGGATGTGCAGAGGGTGAACAGAGATGGAATCACCCGAGTGAAAGGAGCAGCAGAGGGGTTGGTGATTTAGCACCACACACCACACACCCTGTGCTCTCAAGTTTTTGTCTGAAGGAGGGAAATGAAAGCTTTGCAAGAAAGAGAGAGCCAGAAGCACCTCCAACACGTGAGCCAGCTGTCATTAACCCTGGGATCCTGCAAACACCACCAGCCACCAGGCAAGCTCTGCTTCCCTTCAGGCTGTGCTGGCTCAGACCCCAGCACAGATCTGAGCCTCACCACTGTCCCAGAGAGAGGGAGCAGAGCTGATCCCACCAGCACCTGCACACCCACATCCTGCTGGGAACCACTCCTGTGCTAACTGCTAAGATTCTGAGCTGCAAACACATCCTGGAGGTGCAGGATGCTGATCCAGCCCTGGCTCAGGCTCAGGCAGGAGCAGCAGCAGCTCCAGGGGGAATCCTGAGCTGGCCTGCAATCAATAGGGCAGGGGAGGCAGAACAATAGTTTAATTATTCACAAACCAAGAGTCAAGATTCTCTGTCTGTGAACTCAGGCAGACACAGAACATCAGAAGAGGTGCCAGGGCTCAGGTGAAATGTAATGGTTCAGTTCTGTACTTTTGGTTTTGGTTTTTTTTGGTTTTTTTTTTGATAATTCCAGAAGGATCACTCCAGTGAATAAACCTTTTTCTAGGAATTTTTTATTTCTGGAAAAACACTGCATTCAGAGTCAGTGTTAACAGTTCAAGCAGTCCTAAAACAATTTAGTGAGAAGTATGAAAAATAAGAATGTGGAACCCAAAGTCCAAGGTGCCTGATCATCACCTGGGAGCAGGTGCACCTGCAGGAGCCAGGCAAGGGAAAGCACTGGCTGCAAGGAATGCACAGCAGGATGAAATACAGTTAAAAATATTGCTTCCCAGTCTCATCTCATCTAAAGAAAAACTTGCCACCCCTGATTTGAGCCAACTATAATAATTTATTTCAACTACCAAGGATTAAGTTATGGCTGGAGGCAAATTACAAGCTGGAGCCTCAATGTCAACAGTTTAATCATTTAAGGAAAACCCTTGACAGCATTAGTGACTATCTGAAGAAAACTGAGGAAGACAACTCAGGGACACTGGAATAAACCTGGGGGATTCCAGCCAGCAGAGGAGACTTTCAGGTTTTTGTATTTCATTTGTAAAGCCAGCTGGGGTGGCACGTTTTGGTTGTTGGGGTGACCCAGGTGACACCAGGGCTGCTGTTACCCTGGGAACATCCCCTGCAGCCCAGGACCTGCACAGGGACAGGCTCCACCTGCTCACTGCTCCCCAGAAAGGGACAGCAGGCTGCACAGCACACAGCTCCATGCACTGCTGCTGGCAGTGCCATGCCTGGCAGCAAACCTGAGACATCCCCAGCCCGTTTCCCAGCTGGGGAAGCCTGGAACAGCTAACAGAAAGGGAATTATTCCCTTTGCTTTCTCTAAAGAATGGCTGTAGCAAAGGTGGAAACCATCAAGAGTGCTGTAAGATAAATGAAAATGAAGGAAACAAGAGAGAAAAGGCTCCAAACCTTGTGGAATTACAGGATTTGCTAATTATTTTGAAATGATCAACGTTTCACAGCAGAATAAAACCCCAGAGCTGACACTGGGAGCCCAGAGGCCCTTGGGAAGCCATGGCAAACACATCCACACCCTCCCTGTCAGAGCCTTCCCGGGATAAACCAGGGTGGATAAGCTCTTCTGTGTGCAAAAGTAACCCAAACGAGGGCAAGGGAGTCAATCTGACTGTCCAGTCTGGACAAAAACATCATAATTACAGTCATGAACGTTCCTCTGCCTCCTCCAGGAATGACTGGCTCAACAAACACAAACTGCACCAGCCCTGCAGAATTAGCCTCAGCTTTATGCTCAAAGCTTTGGTTTAAAAACCTTTAGGGCTGGGCACGACCTGGGATCTCCAGAACCAAGGAGGGGTGTTATGTTTTTCTCCCTTTTTCTTTTTTCCCCCTTTTAAAGCCTCTCCAGTTTGGTGTAAAGAGGAAAAGCCACATTCTGCTTTCTGGGCTGGTTTCTGTTCTTGTGGCAACTCCAAAACCCCACAACATTTTAACTATTCCACATCTCAATTATTTTTAGCTTTTTTCCTTGTCTCCTAATTTGATGCTAATCCCAAGCTGTCGGTGGCTCAGGAGCTGGAGGAATGTGAAGTGACATAATTGCATGCCAAAAAATTTGCAGCTGTCATCCATGTTTGAAAGTTTCAATATTTAAAAGGTAGAACTTCCCAAATGGAGAATTTACTTTGGGGCTCTGGTTAACTCACACTGGATTAGGTAAATAAATATCAGAACATTATTGAGCGGGCTGCTACTCATAAAAGTCTAGACAGCAACACAGTTTTTCAGTGCCAAGTCACAGAAACAACCCTGCCACCACACATTTCCTCCACTCCATCCCTCTCAAACACAGATCTTTGGAAAAATATGATTTAGGCTGATATGTAAAGATTCAGGAGGTCACAGGGAGCGAGGTCAAAGCGTTGGAAGAGGAGAAGGAAGCTCACCCACACCCTGCTCTGCAAGAGACAGGCACCCACCAGCTTAAGGGGATACCAGAACCTTCAACTCTGTGTTTTTCAGGAAGAAGAGATACATTGCTAGTTTGCAACAAATCACACACACCCCCACGTTTTCAAAATATGCCAAGATAATATTTATTAACACAGCAGGACTTACAGATCACAAAAGATAGTGATACAGAGGAGCTCGGAAGGGCGGTATCAGAGAAAAGCATGCAGGTCAATACTTGCAGAAGAGAGATATCAAAGCAGATCTGAAAAGGCACATTCACACAGGAAATGTTTAGTTGAAATCAGACATTAGAAAAAGCAGCAAAAAAAACCTGAAGTTGATTAAAATATACAGAGAATCTCCAGTAATGCCAAAGAAAAAGGTATTTTACAGGTGTGTCAGTGCAGCAGATAACCCTTTGAGGGTGCCTGGGGCAGGGCTCCTCTGGCTGCAACCTTTGGCAGGAAGAACAAATCAGGTTCACCCCACAGGAGCAGGTGCCCATTCAAATGCTCTCAGCTCGGAGGGGAACAGAAATTTGGTGTCACAAAAGAAGCAGCCTGGTTCAAACTAACAGCATGCAGCCAGTGCTCAAAGGGTTATGGAGTAAATGCAGGAGAAATCAGGGAACATTAGAATCATCTACCTTCCACACAGAGAGTCAAGAGCAGAGCTTGAAGAGGCTGTATCCCCTTTGGAGAGAGAAAACCTGGAAACCTTTCATCCCTCAAGAGACAACAGGGCCCTGGCAGGGGAAGCAAGGATTTCTCCCTAATTCCCAGCACCTACCTGCCCATACCTGGAAGCTACAAATGTCAAAGCTCACAGCCCAGGGACAAACAGCTCTGTGTGGGCACGTCACCAAGTCAGACCATCCCTGTGCACCTCTGTCCTGCTGCTGCTCCCCTGCAGATGTGACACAGGGCCTGCACAGGGACAACCTTCCATTTCCCAGCAGGGAGGTGACAAAGGGATACTGTCCCTTTCTGACATTTACAGATGGAAGGAAACGGTGAGGGAAAAAATAAAAAAAAAATCTGCTTTTTAACTTCATGTAAACTGAAAAAAAGGAAAAAAAATAAATAAAGGACTTGACCATCAGCAGTTCACAGCTTGAAATGCAAACACACAGAAAGGAACACATGAGCACAGGAGTGTTTGTAGCAGGGTCCAGAGCACATCCTGCCACCAAATCCAAACAGTTAAATGGAGCAAAACTCTCCCTTTTGGAATAACACCTAACTTGGCACCATAGGAGAATACAGACTTAAGTTTAATAAAAATAGCTTCTAATTAATACTTCAGAGTTCAAAAGTTTAGCAACAAGCACATGAAGGGCTAACCCCTTTAAACAAACCAAAAAGAAGAGGCTTTCCTGCCACAAACAGCAATTATTCATCACGGATTGCTGTGGCAAAATCACACGTCCTGTAAAGAGCTACAGAAGTCAAACTACCACCAAAAGAGGCTAGAAAAATATTAGGAAAAAGTGCTTTCAAACCCAAAGTAAACATTCAAGAATACACTGTTGGTGCTACGTTTTGACAGCTCACTCAACTTGGAGTTTTCCCAAGCAGCAATATGAAAATTAAATGTCTTTGCTAATAAATTATTCCTGATATTTGTACCCTGTTAGAGAGTATCTTCCACATCGAAGTTGCCGACTTAATTCTCTCCCCTACTTAAAAATATCATAGAATGCAAAATTACAGTACTGTATATCTTTTCTCTACCCATATCTGCAAAAAATGGAAGAAATATTTCATGTGGAAATAACCAATTCTTGCAGTAAGAGCTTTTACATTTACAGTTTGTATGTTCCCCCTGTTCAGAAAAGCCTTTGACTGCATAAAACTTGTCCTAGAACACAGTAATAGTTCCCATGTTGTTGAAGGCCACAGAACATTTAACTACAGCTTATCTCCTATGTATATATGAAAAGAAAAAGCAGGACACTTGGGAAATTTGTTTTATGATATGTGTTCAGGTCAGAGATGGTCAGTTCACTCCCTCAGGAATGTTGTCATAAAGGGAAATTAAAGAAGGTGGAAACCTGATAAGGATAAAGTGAAAGTCCCATGGTTTAAATTTAGGTCCAAGAGCTCCCAATCGTGAGACCAGCACTTGCAGCCCCTTGGCACAATGATTTCCACGAGGGATTTAACACTGGAAGGTGTGTGAAATGCTCTACAACTGCAGTCCTGCAAAATCCTGCCCACCCAGACTGAGCCCCACTGTAAGGGGAACACACTGGTGTTGGTGATTTGTCAGCTTCTCATTAACAGCCCCAATTAGTGACCCTTGGGAAGCGCCAGTGGGGAAGTCCCCAGGCCAATGCTTTGTGGAAAACAAGAGACTCAAGTGAGACTCTGCCATCATCTTGCTGGTACAAATGGAATGACACTGTGCACTGAAATATTTCCCACTCGAGTCCCTTAAGTGCCAATAGGGAACAGGTACCAGTATGATGATGTTAAATCTCAAAAATAAACTGGCCTGGAGTTCAAACTGTTCCAGCTAGTTCTATTTATAGTCTTCTAAGACAAAAAACTAAAGAGTGCCCTGCTGAGGGGCCGTGGCTGGCGGGGACACACACTGAGGAGTCTTCCACTACTGAAAGACGAGTGCATAATACTGTAATTGAGCACAGAGAACACGGAATCTGCACCACCTACGTTACCAGAGCAATCTAACCAGTTCCTCACCTGCTGCTGGTGGATGCTGGCCACTAACTGTTGGCAAATCCAAAGAGCTATCAGACATGACATGCTTAAGATCTCCTCCCACATCAGCCAGTTTCATGTCAAACTGAACAGACAGCGCGTCTTCGGAGTCCTCCTTGCCCACGCTGCTGCCGCCGATGGAAGGCAGATCCAGGGATTTCACCGAAGCCGAGTCTTCTTTGGCCTGCTTGAAAGCTGCCACTTTGTCCACCAGAGACTTCTCGGCGCCGCTGGAAGAAAACTTGTTGGAGTGGAAGTCAGCAAAGTCATCGTCGCTCTTGACCGAGGAGAGCGCGCTGTCCTTGGCCTCCTCGAAGCCCGCTCCAGAGCCCTCCAGGGACAGCTGCTTGAAGATGTCGTACTTGGTGGGCGTAGCAGTGGTGGCAGAGCTCTGCCCACCCGTCACCGTGCTGCCCGAGGAGCCAGCCTGAGCAGCAGGGCTGGCCTCCTGCTTGAGGGAGTCGTATTTGTCGTCAGGTTTTTGTTCGGAAAACCCCGCGCTGTTGTTGAAAGCCATAAAATCTGCAAAGTCATCTTGTCCGCCGGCTGATGCGCCGTTAGAAAATTCCCCAAAGAGGTTGAACTCTCCAAAGTCATCAGCTAAGCTTGAAGTTTTGCTGGGTGCTGGCTGGGCAGAGGCGGATGGAAGGGGTGGGGGGGGGAAGGAGCCCGGTTTTGAGGTGTTAAATGCAGGTGGGAAGGATGGCTGCTTGTTTTCTCCAGGAGAGGAAAAGAGCTCCAAGTCTGCCAGATTCAAAGGGGGCTTGGCTTGTGTTGGCTGTTTTGGCTGAGCAGGCAGAGGAGGGAAGGGTGCAGGGAAGGTTTTGTCTTTGGAGGGTGGCTCTAAGGGGGAGATGCTGTCAGCGGTTTTGAAATCTGTGAAACCATCGTCGGATCCTGTGGGCTTGAACTCTGCAAGGTTCTCTCCTGGGAATGAAAACAGGGAGAAAAACAACAATTAAACCCTGCACAACAAACACAGCATGTTCACACCACGCAAGCAAGCAAATTATTCCATGCAGTGGCAGAAGGTTTTAGGCAAACTGTTTAAATGGAAGACCTCGGGGTGCACACAGAACTGCAAACTCAACTCCCGTGAGCCACACAAGTGTCAAGGGCAGTGATTCTACTTTTCACTCCAGCAAACACCTAATTCTCTCAAATAGCCTCAAAGTCATATTAAACTCCCTTTACACTGAGTTAATATCAAAACACACCATGACAAATGGATTCAGAAGGAGATCAATACTGCCTTATTTGGCTTCCATGCAAGTTCTTCTCCCCACCTCATCCTCTTCGTGTTTGCCAAACAATGAATGTAATTTTGAATTTCACTTATACCAATACAGTATTTGCTTTTTATGGAAGCAATTCCTCCCTCTGAAATATTGCAGCTTTTTCAGGGGGGATCACCAGATGGCTGAGACAAAACCAGCCTGAGGTAAGAATGTTTTCATTGAATTTACATTCAATATTTTGGTGTGCTGAATTATAACTTTCCTCTTTTGAACATGAAAACATTGTTTAACCCATTCACCAGCATGGACATACTTGGACTACTTGTAATTTTAAAGTATTGATGTTTACTTTAAGACAAGTGTCCAATAAATAGATTTTTTTCTGTTTTAGAAACACACCACTAGCATTTAATTGTTAAGCTACCACAGTGTCACACTTTAAATCAGTTTAACCAAGATTTAAAAGAATATTCTTAGTAATGGCAGTAAAGGACCACAACTACACCTGACCTTTTATTCCATTCTCCCTCCCCTCCAAATCAATTCATTTGGCTCAGTAACAATATAAATATTCCTGAAGTTGCTACTCATTAATCAAAACTGCAACAGCACAGCAAACTAAACTTACTGAAGAATTGCAAACTTTTCCATTAGAAATGTAAGCTGGTGAAAGGGTTAAGAGTGGTCAGACCTTGACAGCAGGTAAATACAGCAACTTTCTATATTACAGAACATGTACAGAAAGAGATCAAATATTATTTCATTTTACTGCAAGCATTTAATCCTGAAGAGGTTCCAAGCATGAGAAGCTCACAAAACACCACAGGGGTTTCATAAATGAATGACTCCTTACTTAAAACAAATTCCAACCACATCATTGCTTTAAAATAAAACTCAGGAGCACCCAGAAGAGATGCCAACCTTCCAGAAATACCATCAGCACATTGTTCCAACAGGATATTGCCCTGTTTTTACAAAATACTTCCTACCAAGTTTTTTAGAGAAGCAGCAGCAGCATTATTTTAGAATTGCAGAGATGGAAATTCTGCAGCTCAAAGAGAAATGCTACAAATGATAATGAAAATCCAAGAAAGCCCCAGTGCTTACCCAAGTATTTGCTTTCTGCTGGTTGCTCTAATTCCCGGAAAGCGCTGTACTTGTCCCCTCCATCTAAAGAGGAGAAAAGAAATACATTTACACAGAGAAATTATCAACTCACACAGCAAAATTATCAATTCATTCAGCAAAATTATCAATTCATACAGCAAAATTATCAATTCATACAGCAAACGTTCTATTAATTGCTCTGATTTTTAAATATGAATATCTTATCAATGCCAAAAAGAAGATATATGAAACTGTACAATAAATTGCTCATAGTGCTTGTGTATTTGTCCTTTTACCTCCAAAAGCAGCTGCACTCTCAGAAGGCTTCTCAGCTGCCATTCCTTTAAACACAGCATATTTGTCAGCTGGTGAAAGTGGCTTAGTACCTGGGAGTGGCATTAGTAAAGAAGGAACACTAAAAACAAAAGAGATAAAAGCAAAGTTCCTTAATTTATCCATAAGAAATCTGCATTTCCAGGTTTTAAATAAAAGAGTCTCTTATTATGGCTACACAATTTGGTTCCTAAACCTAAGCTTATGCCTTAATGAGTGTTTAATCCAGCCCCTATGTAAGTGACCTCAGCTGGGTAAATTCCCACTTTATCTCACCTAATCATATTTCTTTGGTTCAAAGTCAATTTACACCGTTCTTGATTTTAATTTCTGTCAAAACCATGAACAAAACACTCCAGAAATTTATACCAAGGAATTCGTAGCCCAGGAGAGAACAACCACACAGACACACCCCAGGAATCAGAATCACTCCTGCTTAATTCATCCCTAGGAAAATTCCCCCTGATAAAACCAGATACAGTAAAGAGCTAAAACTGCATGAGATTTTAACAGCTCCATACTTTCAGCTTATCTAATTCTGATTATATCTCATTACATATTGTAAAATTAAGATAATAAAGTGGGATCACTGTTCAAAGGAAGGAAAATAATAACTCTGAATTTCTGTCAGCGCCAATCAGCGAGCTTAGGCAGGTATCTAGTCAGCAAAATAAGGATTAATGCACAGTTACACAAGCAAGCCTTTTTGCATAAACACACTGTACTTTATCCAGTAAAACTGCCACAACAACCTAACACCTTGTTAGCAAACGCTGGAAGATTTAGGAGAGAGCTTTGCTGGCCCTCCACACAAGCCCCGTTATCAGAGCTTGGCAGCTCCACACAACAACATCCTTTACATATGAATGATGCATTCTACCTCCAGTTTGTGTCGTTCACATTGGAAACCTGAATGAATTTCTATTGCATTCTTCAGCCCGGAGCAAGAATCTTTCCAGAGCCATTTAAATCTCCTTATCAGCAGCCTACAAGCAACACACAAACGAAGCACTTGCACACATGTGCTGATGCTGGTCCGTGGTGCTTGCAGGCAGACAGTGCAACGGCAAAAAAAAATAGAGCTTATGGTAATATAATTAAATTTCCCATCCCTGCAAAGCAGGCTATTAGATATGCAATCTTGGCAAATGGAATGGTTAATCAGCTGTACTCCACAGATGGCTTTTTTTTTAAATAAAGCTCCATAAGCAATTAGATTATAGCTCATTGTAACGTTTTGTTCAAAACTGAACGCTTTCACAACTGAATAAAGAGAACTGCTGCAGTGAAAAAGAAACATCATTTTCTGAAATATTTCTTTATGATCCTCTACTTTCCATTGTGCAATTAACAAACAGTTTTCTGTCAAAACTTTCAGTAACAGATTAGCTTCAGCTGCAAAATGACATCTAACACAAGATCTACTTAAATCAGCATCTTCAGACCCACGTGGCATTGACTGACACCCCTGGGAGTGTCCAAGGCCAGGCTGGACAGGGTTTGGAGCAATTTGGTTTAATGGAAGGTGACTCTGGCCCATGGTGGGGGGTGGAACTGATTATCTTTAATGTCCCTTCCAAACCAAAACATTCTGGACTTCTGTGCCATCAGCAAAATTCTATTTCTTACACAGAATCCATCTGCCATAGGTAGGAGAACAATTGGGCTGAGCATCCCCCTTTGATGTCACTGCTGAGGAAGCACCTGGTAATCAGGGCTCTCATGGAATTCAGAGCTCTGTTTGCCACTAAGAACAGCCAATTCCTACCCAGAAAATGTGTCTGTCTACAATCAGACACCTGGGAGGTGCATAAAGAGGAAAGAAGGCTGAAATTCTGTAGTCTTTGTAGACCTTGAAAGGTCGATTGTGAACTATCAAAGGGAGGAAACATGTTTATTTATTTTGTTATACAAAACCTGCCTGCTCAGGAATTACATCTTGTCTCCCAAAGGGAAAGCCAGGATTGCTGGAGTCTGAATCATGTTTCAATTGAGATTTACAGTCAGGTATCAAAAGTTTAGGCACTGGCCAGAGCAATGACAGAAACACCAAGGACCTGGTACCTGCTCCGGTGCTGTGAGCTGGCTGCTTTGGCTGCCTCCCCCTGGAAATCAGTGAAGGAGTCATCCAGGGAGCCAGACTTTGAGGCATCCTGAAACTCCTGGAAGTCATCATCTTCTGGTTTTACTACCTGAGTTACAAACAACACATGAATTGCTATGCTGCTGGCTCTTCAAACTGTCATACAGCAAGAAAGCAGCTTGAGCAGTGTGATTAAGAGGGGAAAAAAAGAAGGAAGAGAACCTTTCAACACCAGCATCATCAGCACTTCCACTTTGTCTGCACCTCACTCTGTTCAAACATACACAGGATTACAGGAGCAGGAATGAACAACAGTTCATTATTTCACAATAAATGTGTTATTGATCGTAGCCATGTCATCTTTTAATACAAGACAAATATTAATAATTTAAATCAATGAATAATTTAAAATTAATAGCACCACAATAATATTTTCTGAAGGATGAAGCATGTCTGCAAACAGCAAAATCATCCCCCACATGATTTACCTTTGTAAATGGAAGGTTTTCAGTGTTCTCAGCTGCTCCTGGAACTCCTATTTTACCAGCTATTAGAGTCTGCTGTACAGTTTAACCTGAAATTCCATTTTGTGCGCATTACAAAATCCTAACTACAACTAAAATCCTCTTTGCAATACAGAACACTTCTGTACCTCTCCTAATGCCACCAGAAAGAACTGCAAAAATAAAAGAACGCCCTTACTGGCACTTCACATTTACAGACGTCACATGCCGGATTTCAGCTCTGGCTCTTTTTACCATTTATTTAAAACCTGTTCTCACCATGCGAGTTTGGAAGTGCCAGGCTAATTTCCCCTGCAGGGAAGGGGGTTTCCGGGCAGGGAGGAGCTCACCTGGCCGGCCGGGTAGGAGGGCAGGAAGGCTCCGGAAGGCTGTGCCGCACTGGAAGCGGGGGCTGGAGCCGGGGCTGGAGCCGGGATGCTCATGCCCATCACGGAGGGCCCGATGCCCAGCCCCACGGAGGCCGGGGCAGCCGCGGGCAGCAGCGGGGGCTGGCTCACCCCGCCGGGCAGCGGCACCGGGAAGCCGGACAGGGTGGGGACGGGCGCGGCTGGAAACTGGTTCAGCACGTCAGGGCTCACGGCAGGGATCCCTCTCTGCAGAGACAACGAGCACGGTTAGGTACAGGTGCAGTGCTAACAAAGGGTGTAGTGTGCTCCCAGCGCCAGCCTGCAGCTCCTTGTGCTGAAGCCAACAACGAGCAGGGTACTGGTTAAGCTCCCAGGAAATCTCTGACATCCAAACGTGCCATCAAGGTCTATGTGAGTGAATTATATTCAGCACAGAATTACTGAGGTAAGAAAAGGCCTCCAAGGCCACTGAGTTAATCCTTTGACCCACCTCTCACCCAGCTCAGAGCACTGTCCTTCCTTGGACACCTCCAGGGATGGATACTCCAACACCTCCCTGGGCAGCCCCTTCCAATGCTGAATCACAATAACCCTTTCCATTAATAAATTGTTCCTCATGTTCCAGCTGAAACTCCCCTGGCACAGCTAGAGGCCATGTATTCTTGTGCTGTCACTTGTTCCATTTGCTATTAAAAACATACATACATGAGTTTTGTACCTATATCTAAGAACTTCAGCCGACACTAAAGAAAAGAGTAACTGAAATGTAAGGAATGAAATTGAAGCAATGAATTGAACGAAATTCAACTGCCCACTGAAGTCACAAGAGCAGCTTCTCCACTGGGCTCCAACACAAGCAGTGTTTTAGGGGAGATGAGCAGTCCCAGGCAGCTGCCCAGAGGCTGCCCAGGGGCTGCCAGGTGAGAGCACACCTGGGTCACTGCTGTCATGGAGCAGAGCTCCTCCTTGCATACCTGGGTCACTGCTGTCATGGAGCAGAGCTCCTCCTTGCATACCTGGGTCACTGCTGTCATGGAGCAGAGCTCCTCCTTGCATACCTGGGTCACTGCTGTCATGGAGCAGAGCTCCTCCTTGCATACCTGGGTCACTGCTGTCATGGAGCAGAGCTCCTCCTTGCACACCTGGATCACTGCTATCATGGAGGAGAGCTCCTCCTTGCAGACCTGGCTCACTGCTATCATGGAGGAGAGCTCCTCCTTGCAGACCTGGCTCACTGCTATCATGGAGGAGAGCTCCTCCTTGCAGACCTGGCTCACTGCTATCATGGAGGAGAGCTCCTCCTTGCAGACCTGGCTCACTGCTATCATGGAGGAGAGCTCCTCCTTGCAGACCTGGCTCACTGCTATCATGGAGGAGAGCTCCTCCTTGCAGACCTGGCTCACTGCTATCATGGAGGAGAGCTCCTCCTTGCAGACCTGGCTCACTGCTATCATGGAGGAGAGCTCCTCCTTGCAGACCTGGCTCACTGCTATCATGGAGGAGAGCTCCTCCTTGCAGACCTGGCTCACTGCTATCATGGAGGAGAGCTCCTCCTTGCAGACCTGGCTCACTGCTATCATGGAGGAGAGCTCCTCCTTGCAGACCTGGCTCACTGCTATCATGGAGGAGAGCTCCTCCTTGCAGACCTGGCTCACTGCTATCATGGAGGAGAGCTCCTCCTTGCAGACCTGGCTCACTGCTATCATGGAGGAGAGCTCCTCCTTGCATACCTAAGTCACTGCTATTATGGCCAGCAGGGAGCAGAGCTCCCCCTTGCATACCTAGGTCACTGCTATCATAGCCAGCACGGAGTAGAGCTCCTCCTTGGTCAGCTTCCCGGGTGTGGTGCGGTTGGCCAGGGCCCAGATCTGCCCCAGGGTCTCCCTGGGCAGTCCTGAGGACATCAGGATGGGGTAGAGCTTGGCTGTGTCAATTCCAGCAGGAGTCAGAGTGGTTTCTAAGATTTTCTTATACAGCTCTGTTGTGAGGGAGGCAGTGTTAGACAGTGACAACTGTTCTTTTCAAATATTATTGCTTTTTTATGTTCTCAAACTCAACATGATATGAAATCAGGAGCACTCAGTGTAAGGTAAGGCAAGAGCATTCTGGCACTGTATTGTATTACATGTTTCATCTAAATGTGCTATTGGATGGTCTTTACAGACAAGTTTAACTCAAGCAGAGAAATATTTTATATAAAATACACTTAGTGCTGCATTTCAAACCACATTTCTTTAATGAAATTGCAGGATAACCCATATAAAAAGATAGTTCTAAGATCCTTATGTGCTTAAACCTCAGTGTAATCAATATTTACTACAGCAATTCATTTCCTATTCACTGTGTTATTTACACATAGAAGACAAATAGCCTTCAGAAATGAGCCTGCCTAATTACAAGACATGCCAAAAACCAGAATACCCATGAAAGCAGCATTATCAGCAATGCATCCTCTGCTGGGATAAGCTGCTGCCATAAATGTTTAATCTAGAATTTGTTAACATGCTCAAATAAAACCCCCGCTTCTTCAAATGCAGATAAGACACCATAAATATGTAACATATCAAAGATCCAGGAATCTTTTGATGAGGGAATAAGGCTTTGATCAATAAGTGGCCATGCAAGCACAGGTACACTCACACCTTGCACTGCCCACCTGGCCAAATGCCCACTGGTTGCTTTACCTGGGACCAAGCTGTCGTTGTAAATCCAGGCAGGCATAATTTGCTGGATGGGGTCCTGGGGAGGGAACACTCCAACTCCTAAAGGAATTCCATTCAGTAAGAAAAACAGTTGTGTTAGGGTACAGAGCACAATGATCTTCAGAGGATACACCACAGCTGGTCAGCATCATTCAGCATTTCAGGCAAAGATTTCAGATAGGAATCACTGTGCTCAGAGGAAAAACAGATACTGCAGGAATATGAAATAATAACTAGAATGATGTGGCAGTTATAGATTATAGTTATATATGTAATGAAATAAGGAGCTCCTCATGTGCCTCCCTCTTGACATCCAGATGTACAGAACCTAGTCTCACTGTCTTCAAGTTTCACAGCAGTTCTGTGTCATAACAAATTCAGCTTCCCATCAGCTCCCTGCTATCAGGGCTATTTGTGGAATAAATAAATCCTTATCTACCACAAATCCCACAATGTTCCCCCAGAACATCCTCCCCTGGGAAATGCACACACAGCCCAGGGACTGAACCTCAAGAACCTCAGCAAGATGGTATCCCACATCCACAAACCTGTATCCACTGCTCCCAGTCTGCAGCTCCAGGGGACACCACACTCCTACAGTAACATGATCTGCCACACTCCACTCCCCAAAAATGGGTTATTTCCTTCTCCACTATGTGGACTCTTCCCCTCAGCAGATTTTATGCTCATCTTGGATGGAGCTCTGACCAAAATCAGCATAATTTCAGATTTCATTGTCTTGCCCAGTACCCTTGCATCTCCTCGTCTTCCACATGGATTCCCTCTTGACTGCAGTCTAATTTCTAATTATACCACAACTCCAAGCACATTCTAATATAAGTAATTCCTTCCATTTCACCAACCAAGTAAAATAAATTTGCCACTTCCTCAGACCTCGTTATTCTTTGGTTTTAAGCCCCCCTCCATACTCAGCCAACAGTTTTTTTAACAAAATCCAAACTGGAACAAAACCTTGTTTTAAGTTTTCCTCTAACCATCTTTTGAATATTCACCCCTAAAGTACAGGTAGTTTTAGACATAATGTGTATGAGCAGCAAATACTTGAGAAACAAGTATTAACTAGCTAAGAGTTCTAACCTGGCAAGATTTTATCCCCTTAAGGTTAAAAGATTAAAACCCACCATGACACTGACCATCTTTAGTGGTAAGTTTCCCTAAACAGTTTTTTTTAAATATCTTCAGACAGCACAACTTCTTTTTCCCCGAGACAGGATAGACTATTTTAAAACAGCAAACCTGATTAAACAAACATGTTAAAGGTGACTACAACAATAAACTCACGTGGAGAAAGTTCAGAGCAAAATCATGGCAGTTACACTTTGAGCAAGGAGCAGGAGGCACTGACATTATTCAAGCAGGCATTCAGAGCAAAATTACGCAGGGTTGGCCTTGGAATTAGTGAACAGAGCGTTAGCACCAAGCAGCATCTCATTAGACTGAAATTCTGTCAAACGTTTTGATTGCTCACCACACTCTTCAACTGCTCTGTTTTGTTCTGAAGCCTTGTGCACCTCTGCAGCAGCAGTGGGACCACTTTCATGTCCACCTACAACATCCCAGTCACTGCTGGTGAGGCTGGGATGGGCTTGGCTTGCAGCCGAGGCTTTGTGCCCAACTTCGGACGTTTTAAGTTTGGTTTGCTCTTGTTCAGATTCATCTGAGCCATTAGCTAAGGCTTTCTCCTCCAAGGAAGAGCCTGAATAAACAGCAGGAGGAATTATTTATACTTGGTTATGAACTGCCCAGACTGCACTTCCACACTTCTCATAGAAGTACTTTTGGTACCACTGATGAGTTAGAGATGATCAGCCCCAGCTCAGACCAACAGCACCACCCTCTCTGGACACTGTCAGAGCCTGCTTCTGCCCTTTACTTACCACAAACACAACAAACTCAACAAGCAAAAAACAAGAGGAGGAAGACACAAAACTGTTTCCTGTGTTAGGATTATTGTTGCATAATCATCCAGGCATCAGGAGCAGAAGTGCCCAGTATCTACTCAGATCTCCAAAATTCATGTTCATCTCACCAACATCCCTTCAGCCTCCAAGGGAGGAAGCACACAAGTGCTCCACAGCAGCATAATCATTATTTCATATACCAGCATCTCAACTGTGTCTTTTGCTATCCTACAGATTTAGGATGATGCTGCTAAAACACAAGATTTAATTCACCTAAGATCAGGCATGTGTATATTTAGCAGTATTTGGATCCATACACGACTTGCTTTTACAGGCAGTTCTAAGGGAAGCAAGAAGGAGACTTAAATCATCTTTTCCCATGGATCAGCAGGTTTCTGCTTAATTCCCTAAGTTATTTTTTCCAGCCAAGCTGAAAAAAAAAAAAAAACCCCAACAAATTAAGTAAAGACTCTGTGTAGCTCAGAGGGTGACATGTAAAAGAAGATACTTTAGAGTTACCTGTTTTATGGGTATTGGATGGAGATGCAGAGGTAGGAAAATAAGGAACCTGCCCAGTTGTACCATGCAGGGTGGATAACACTGGAGCCTGGGCTGGAGGGACAGGTTGGAGCACAGCCCTCTCTGAAAGCAGCTGCCCAGCCTCAGTGGCAGGATGGAAAGGCTGAGAGGTAGACTGAGGCACCAGTTTGGGGGTTTCAACAGGCCCTTGCATAAAGTCACTAAATTCTTCATCATCGAGAAAAGCAGAATGGGAAACAGATACAGCACAATGGGATGGTGTGGGATGATCTGCAAATGGAATGAACACACAAGCAAAGTGATGAGGAATAAGGGTCATGGGTGGGAATGGGGGAAAGTGGCAAACATTGGGAATACACAGCAAATGGGCGAGGAGGAGCAGGGTGGAGCCTGTGTGGTGACACATGAAGGGTGTCACTGGCACAAGATAAAACTGAGCAGCCCCTTCCAACCACAGATCTTCTCTCCCAGGTTTTTAGGATGTGAACACTGAAACTTGGTTCTTAACACTGGCTGTGAAAGTATTCTCTCTGTTTTAAGCAGACAGGGTCAAAACAAATCCAGAGGTAATATTTCAAACTGGACATAATGGGGTCTGTCAGGGGGACATTCTCCCTCAAAGGAATGTTTTATCCACAGAAACTCCTCAATGTATCATAAATTTGATAAATCACAAATAAATCATAAATCAATTTGTGATCATAAATCACAAATTCTTGATTTAGAAGAAATGTCTGCTCATGTAGACCATTTTCTGCTTGATCCCTTCCAGTGTTACCATCTCAACAGAACTAGTGAAGGACAGACAAATCTCCAGACAGAGGGAAGTTGTCAGAGACCACCTGTAACTGCAAACTTACCAAGGAGTGAATCCACAGCAGAGACACAAATTTTATACAGGAAAAAGCTGGCCTAGATAAGCTTTGTTTCAGGCTAGACACTAAAAAACTACACTACAGACCATTAGAAGTCTTAAGTGGCAATTGTTGCCAGTGTAATTACTGAGAACAGAGGCTTGGTTTGACCATGCCCACCAACACATCAGCCAGCTGTGACACTCCACTCAAGTCCTTAAACATGGTTTTGATCATTCTTAGCACTTAAATGCCACTTCTCATCCTCAAAAGCACTCTGCAAAGCATTAATTAATGCTTTGACTAGAAAAGAACAAACGCTTTATCAATTTCCTTGATGTTTCACATTTAGCACAGCACATGAGGCTTTCTGTTGAAGATTTCAAGTCTTTTAATAAAGGCTCACATCTAATATTTCACCCTCATACCCTGACCAAGCAAACAGTTGCCAGAATGACATTTGATTTTACAAAACTGTTAATCCACTCATTTTGTACCACCAAATAAAAATACTTGTTGGAATTAGTCCCCCTGCTGAGGATTTCAAATTTTGGAGTTTTATTTTCTGTTGGAAAATGAGGAAAATTACAAACCTGGCTTTTTTGGATGCGTTGCTGGTGTTGGGTGCATTTTGGCATCTCTAGAAAAGCCATCTAAGTTCCCTTTAATGGCTTCCAAAGCATCATCTCTGCTTTTTTCACCTGTCTGAAACAGCACAGAAAAAGTTTTGATAAATTGACAGAACAGCTCAGTTTTCTCCCAATACCCACACTTCTCCAGTACCAGAATTAGCAATGCCTGCTGCTGGCAGACTGTGTAAAGGACTGACTCTTCCAGAGATTTTTCAAGCCATAATCTGGCATCTCATGCAATTCCCACTGATTTCCTTGTTGAAAGAGACCAACCCATTAAAAGCTATTAAAAAAAAAAACCCTGAAGAAAGAAACACCCCACTCATTATCAGGCCATACCTTGGGTTTCACACTGCTCAGGAGTCTCAGCTTTTGTTTCTGCTCTTCAAACTGCCGCCGTTTTCTTTCTTCCTCTAAGAACTTCTGCTGGTGCTCAAACCTCTTCCTGAAGGAAAATTATTTTTCAAGAAATAAATATATATCTAGAAATAATTTTTATTATACTTTTCACATCAGGTTTGTGTTTGTTTTCACCATTTCAAATTCAGATGGTTTGGTGCACGCACTCCTGCTTCTTCTCAGACCTCGACAAGCACCACAAACTTCAGAGGCAATGGAACATGCAGCAATATTCTACAGCCCCAAACAGTGCTGCTGCAGAAAAACCCCATCTCCCCGTGACAGAAGGACTCCCCAGGAGTCAGGGAAGTGCCACTTACTGCTGCTCCTCTGCAAACTGCTTCTGCATGTCGGGGCTGTACTGCGGGGCGGCCGGGCGCATTCCCAGGAAGGAGGCCTGTCCCATGTAGGGCATTCCAGCTGCTGGCATCGGCCCCAGGGCCATGCCACCCTACAACCAAACACAGCACACAGCTCCAGGGGATTGGTTTCAGCTCCAGGGTATTTTTTTTCCCTGCAGAAAAAGCCAAACCACCGGCAGTGCCAGTGAAGTTGGGCGGGTGGCAGGCGGCGTTAGGGAGTGCTGGAGGAGCAGGGCCCTCAGTAGATGGCACTCTTCCTCTCCACATGCACTCAAACTCGCAGCATTTGGGAAAACTGGCAAAAAGCAGCTCTTCAAATCCAACCTGCCCCAAGAGCAGGAAGGCTACAGCCACCCTACACCGCTCAGTACGGGTTTTCTTGGGATTTCTGGTTCCTATTCTAAAGGATTTCATAATATTTTTATATTCCCTCCTACCAACCACAGATGCTGGAAAATGTGGTCTAGGCATTTCCCAGACATATCCAGGGAATCAACAATATATGGCAACAGGCAAGAGGAACCTTGTCTGAATAAACTGTATCAGAAACACTCACTGAGAAATATATTCTGGGACATTTAGAGCAGCAAAGCTGCCTAATATAGAAGGAGAAAGAAAATAATTTACTTTTCTTACCATTCATTTTGCATTTGGTCTCAGAACACGTAGGAAGAGAACAAAAGTTGTTTATTATTTTTAGACCAGCTGTCATAAAAACATCTTCCTACTATAAATTTTGCCAAAATAACATAATAAATTGCAGCTGGGGGAGGGAAGGGAGTGTAAGGACATGGCAAAACAATAAATTCTGTTTGTGACACAGCAATTTGGTTAGAAAGTCATGCAAAAGCATTGAATTTTAGCAAAGTGCAAATCTGTACCTAGGCATATACATTGCTAAATAGAAAAAAAAATAGAATAAAAGAGAGGAAACATAATATTATCTGCTCATATTTCATCCTTATTCCTCAATCAGCAACAGCAGCACTGAAGACAAAGAAGTTACTTTAAGGAGAAAGAAAAATGATGGTGATAGGACAGAGGGAATGGCCTTAACCTGAAGGAGGGCAGGCTTAGATTGGACATTAGAGAGAAATTCTTCCCTGTCAGGGTGGTGAGGCCCTGGCACAGGGTGCCCAGAGAGGCTGTGGCCCCCCCTGGCAGTGCCCAAGGCCAGGCTGGATGGAGCTTGGAGCAGCCTGGGATAAAAGGTGGCACTGGATGAGCTTTAATGTCCCTTTAATGTCCCCAACCTTTCATGTCTGGGGTTCTGCAGTTTCAGCCCACATTTCACCGCCACACACCTGCATGGCCATGGGTCCAGGAGGCATCTGAGAGCCATAATTCATTCCCATCATCCCTGGCATGTTGGTCTGCATGACAGGAACCATTGGAAACCCTTGCTGTTGCATAGGAATCATCCCTGCAATGAAACATTAAACAAGCTAAGTGCCCAGTTAATGTTAAAAGCTTTTTTTCCCCCTTCCTTGACTCTGCCTCCCCCATTTAATTGTTCTTTTTTTTTGTTTACTAAACCAGCAGAGGAAAGTAAAAACTCTGAGTTGTACTGGACTGTTTAAAAATAAAAATAATAAAATTTCCTACACTGCAGGCAGCCACAGAATCTCCTGGTCATACACACTGGTCAGTCTACAGGGAAAAATATTACAGGGCTTTTCAGTAACTAAACTGATGAATTATCCCACCATCCTAAAGATTCTCTGTGGGTTTCTTCCCATATGATTTTTGGAAGGGTCATTTCCAATTAAAAAGATTTAATTAACCAGGGTGACTGGTGCTGGTAATTCCCATTTCTCCTGAACGGCAGTTTCTGAAAATAAATCTTGGGAAATAAAGTCAACCTTTCACAAGCAACTTCACACTCTGACCTGGCTGGATAACTTGTCTGTAGGTTAATTAAAGCACTTTATGTTAATTAGCCCACTACACGTGTTAGAATGGTAACAATATTTGTCAGTAAAAGCTAAACATCCACAAAATTGGACAAATCAATGTATTAATGTATTAATTCACTGAATAAAGCAAGTCTGTTATGTTTCAGTACCTTCCTGTCTCACATTTTGCTGTCTTGGGAGACAAACACCAACATGCATTTGCTACCAGCACACCATGAGACAATTATGCAAAAACACTCCAGGAGGCCATGACACAGGCAGGAATAATCCATGAATCAGTCCCTGAGATTTTAATAAAAAAACTCTCCATTTTCCCCATAAATTCTCTGCATATTTTCCCCTAATTAAACAAACAGCACTGCATCAGGAATGAGAACAAAGGCAATTTAAGGCTGGGGCTCTCCCATTGTATTAATACTTTCCACACAGGTTGTGACTCTTGTCCCGGGGTCTTGATGTGCTTTGTAAATATTTACCAGGTCTTGCAACACCCACACAGTATGGGTATACACAGCTGGGAGATGAAGCAGAGCGAGGTGAAATACCACACTCAAAATAACACCAGAATCCAAAAGGCCAATTCAGGTTAAAAAGGGAGATGTAGTTTTCCTGGACCTTTAATCCAGATTCTGGTGACGCTGCTTCAACAACACACGGGAGGTTTTCCCAACAGAGGAGTGAGAGAGCTGGATTCAAGGGAAAAACCAGCCATGGAGTTCAATTAATAATCACACCTCTGAACATCACTGCAGACCTGGTTTAGGTCTAATTTGTCTAAACAAAGTCAAGAAATTTGTGCTCAAAATGTGAAGTTGATACATACCTTGAGGGGGGCCCAAACCACCTGCGACGGGAAACATGAAGCTGCAGGAGGAAAAAAAGAGGATGTGAAATTCTGTCACTTCAGAGCAAATGGAAAATCCACCTCGATTTCCACATCAGCACCATCACCAGGAGCCTCCCACCTTCTGGTCAGCACTTGCAGCAGCTCCTGCAGGTCCCACAGAACCCAAGCCCATCCAAGGGAAAACGTTATCCCTCGGCGGGATCCCACAGCGCCGTCACAGGCTGCAGAGCCAGGACACACAGATCTGATCCTCCCAGCAGCCCTGACACGGCTTTGACTCATCCACATCACCCACAGGAGACTTTCAGCACCCACACAGCTTGGGAACAGGTCAGTTTGTTGTGTGGGCTAAGCACGGAATGAGTAAACATCTCTTGGAAGTATCTGACTCAGCAGGACCACCAGAGAACACTTCTCAGCTGCTTAGGAACAGCTTTTCTGAAGAAAAAGAAACTATCCACAAAACCCCATCACTTTCTGCCCCCTCTAGAAACACTAAGTATCACAAAATAACGGAGTTTCTGTTTTCTCAGGTATCTAATTACAACAAAAATAGCACCTTGGAGAAAGCATTCATTCACCTATTGAGGGTCAAGTGCACCTAGAGGAAGAACCATTAAAATTTCAACTAAAATCCTAATGGAAATTGCTAGCCCTCTCTCTCAAACAGCTGCCAAACAGCAAAAAAGGACCTAGTTTAAAATTCTCATTTGCAAGCAACTTGCAGAAACCCACGTCAGCAGCAATTTCCCAAACAAGAACCTCACTCAGTGTCCCAGGCAGTTATTACATCAAAGTGCTGTGGAAGAGAAACACACTTATAGAGATATTCAGTGTTCAATTCCAAGGGTGGATGTAAAAGAAACTGATGAAGAGTACAAGAGAAAATGCCATCAGAAATGGCTGCAGGAAGTCCTGAAAGCCAACCTGGTTTATAAATATAAAAGAGCTGTGTAATATGAGCACGAAGATAAAATGAGGAATTTAAATTATGCATTTATCCAGGAGCAAATTGCACCTCCTCACTGCACAGGCAGCAGGTCACACGGTCACCAAGACAACCCATTTGCTCTTCACTTCATCCTCTACTCAGGATCTTCACCATCCTGAAGCTTCTTCTGCAGCCCTGAGGGCTGTGTGCTGATTTCTCCTTCCACAACAATCACACACCTGTGCTTCCCAGAGAGCCAGTCCTGCCATCCTCCACCCCACCATTTGGGGTTCTCCCTCTGAAGAACTCTGCAGACTCACACAGCTCAGCCCCAAACACGTGCAGGGCTTGGTTCTCACCACAGCCAAGGTCTGTTTAACTCAGTTCAGTCATTTTAATCCACTCCTTGGCATGCAGTATCAACATGAAAACAAATAGACTTAGAATGATGAAATATTAAATGTGATTTCTGAAGATCTCCTAATCCTGTAGAAGTGTTCTAAGCTTCATGCTTCCCTCCTTGTTGGGGAACCTGACCAACAAGAATTCTCCAAACCAGCAAGGGCAACGTAAACTGCATCGGGAGGTACCACTGCTTGTTGGGAGCAAGTAAAGGCCAAACTATTAAATATTTATCCCTTTCTACAGAGCTCCTGGTTTATTTATAAGTCTGTGCTGAAAAAAATGAAAAGAAACAATCAACAAAAAACCCCTCAGCTGATTAGAGGGCACCGAAAGAGGAGCTGGTCCAAAGTAGCAAAGCAAGCTCTGGCAGCACAGCCCCGCTCAGATCCACCACGGATTCACTCCAGGATTCAGAGTGCGACTGCCAGCACCAGCCACGCTGGCACGGCCACAAACCATCCCACCAATGGGAATTTATCACTGAGCTGCTTTTTTGGAGATGCAAAATTGCCCAGAGCGATCAGTGAAAGCAGCTGGGTCTCGGGGCTGAGGGAGCCAGCGCAGGGACGGTCCTGTGCGAATGCTGCACAAATACAACAAAGAGAAGGGAGCAAATGATCACCCTGCAACAGACCTCTTCCAGCAGTGCTAGAAATCTCATTCCTACTAAATGAGTATTTTAAATATGGAGCTTAAAAAAAAACAACAAGAAGCCCCAAACCAACCAAGCAACAGATTCAGCCAAAACGCAGGAGGCGTGGGGAGCAGCAACTCCTTTTCTGAATGGAGACTTCACTGTAACAGCTCCAAACCACACAGAACGTTTTCCTGTCTACAAGTGGATTTTTAAACCCCTTAATTCCCAAGCAGCACAACTCCATCGATGCAAGAGACTGTTAGAGTATTTTTTGAATGGCAGAAATGCACAAAAATTGAAGTGAAATCAAGCAAAGAACCCACACAGACACAGAACTTCTCCTCTACTTCCAGACTTTGTCCTCAAAGAAACCAAAATACTATCAATGGGCAATGGTGATTTGTAAATCCTTTTATTTTTCAGAACCTTTATTTCTGAAACTGACAACAGTGACAACAGTCCCAATAACACTGACAAAACCGTGGGCTTCAGATATCCAAGACAACTCAATGAGCTTAATTGTCAAATGCAAAATTTCCTCAGCCTCCCTGGAAGTAGGACAAGAGATAAATAGCAGACGAGAGCCTACATTGAAAAAAAAACCATTACTAGAGTCTTCAAAGGCAGTGAAATCCAGTTTTCCAACCTTTCCAGAAACGCAACAACATCTCTTCTAACACTGTTTTTTCCTCCTCACAGGATTCCTCAGTCCTCCCTGTGGCCAAGGTGCCCTTTGTGAGAAGGAGGGGAAAAGGGAAGTCCCCAGGGAGGCTGGGTCCCAGGAGGCCACAGACAGACAGTGACAGGAACATTTACTGCTGCTGACACCGGCGGCACCGAGCGGGGCTGGCAGAACCCCCAAATCCTTCCCACCCAATACGTGAGATTGCAGCTGCAGAGCCTGATGGCGAGTGGGGCGCAACTGCCCAAGCCAGGACACTCGGGGGAGATCAGCTGGGCCCCCAAAATGTGAATAAATCTCGGCAAAGCGCAGAGCTACCGCGGCTGCATTCCCAACAACACACCTGGGACTCCCCACCTCACCCAGGACCCCACCACATCCTGCCTGGCACCCTGATGATCCATCCAGGATCACAGGTACTACACCTGAGACCCACACAGCCTACCCAAGACCCCACAAAGCTCACTTGACAACCCACGAACCCCACCTGGGACCCCCACCCAAGATCCCACGTAGCTCACCTGCGACCCCCACATCCCACCCAGGATCTACCACACCGGAAAGCCGAGGCACCCCACCTGGGACCCCCACACCCCAGTCAGAAACACCGCACAGCCCACCTGGGCCCTGACCCCCCTGCCCTCACATCTCACCAGCACTGCGAGCCGCCACCCCAGCCCTCTCATGGCCCCCCATCTCTGCCCCTCCCCGCGTCCCCTTCATTCTCCATCATCGCCGCCCCTTTGTCCGCTCCCTCTCCACAGCCCCTCGCCCGCTGCCCTCGGTCACCACCGACCTGGCGGCCCCGGCCGCTCCGCCGCCCGCCCCGCCGGCGCCCCCCGCGCCGGGCCCGGGCCGCAGCGCCATCTTCGCGCTCGGCCCCGCCGTCTGTCAGCGGAGCGGCGGCGGCGGCTTCCGGGGCCGGCCCGGGCAGGCACCGCCCTCGGCCCCGCCGCTCCCTCGGTCTACAGCCCCTCGGTTCTTCCGTTTCGCGGCTCCACAGAGCCACGGGCCCTCGGTTCCTCCGTTTCACGGCCCCACAGAGTCACAGCTCCACAGAGCCAAGGCCCCTCGGTTCCTCCGTTTCACGGCCCCACAGAGTCACAGCTCCACAGAGCCACGGCCCCTCGGTTCCTCCGTTTCACGGTCCCACAGAGCCACAGTCCCACGGCTCCTCTGTTTCACTGCCCCACAGAGCCACGGCCCCTCGGTTCCTCCGTTTCACGGCCCCACAGAGCCACGGCCTCTCGGTTCCTCCGTTCCACAGCCCCACATCCCCTCACTTCCACAGCCCCACATTCCCTCGGCTCCACAGCCCCACATCCCCTCGGCCCCACAGCCCGAAGCTCCCCACTTTCACACCCACAGAGCCCCTCATTTCTACAGCCCCATAGCCCAGCTCCATCTCTCCGCCCCACCGACCCAAAGCCCCGCGGGTTCTCGGTTTCACAGCCCCACAACCCCTCGATTCTTTGGTTCCACACTCCCAGAGCCCCTCGGTTCCTCAGCCCCACTACCCCGCGGTAACCCGGGAACGGCCTGGATGGGGATGAGTGGCCCCCACTTCCCCTCGGGACGCCGGTTTCCAGCATCCAAACCACCGCTTTTCCGAAAAAAGGAAAATAAAGCGCTGCCTTTCCGCCCGACCTCCCCCAGGGGTCACCTGGGGACAAGCGACAAGAGCCTGAAGTGACAGGACAAGGGGCAATGGATTCATAGCGACACAGGTAGGGTTAGATGGGATATTTGGAATAAATTCCTCCCTGCGAGGGTGCTGAGGCCCTGCCACAGGGTGCTGTGGCTGCCCCATCCAAACTAGATTAAACCAAGAAAATCCTGTCCAGAAATTCTTCCTTAAAGGACTGTAGCTCCAAAGAAGCCATTCCTGCCTGACTGGAATTCTGATGACAAAAGCAGAATGGGCTGAGTACACGCTGGGCAGATGAAGACAGGGAAAACACATAAAGCTGGGCCTTTTTTGCCTGCAGACTTGTTCCACCGAGGCTGCACAGACACACAGATCTCTGAATTAGCATCTTATGACCTTGTTTATTCTAGTTTCAGGCTCAGTTATAAAACCGTACAAAATTAATGGACATGTAAAGTATTAGTTTATTTCAAAATAATTTTATAGAATAAAAACAGTAAGGCAGGCTTTACTTTCACATACAAGTAGGTTTGTTTTGGCTTTTTCGAAGTGTCCAGAGAAGTCTCTTGACAGTTGCATTTATCAAACCTGACAGTAAATATTTTGAATTAGTTTATTTCAAAATAATTTTATAGAATAAAAACAGTAGGGCAAGCTTTACTTTCACATACAAGTGGGTTTCTTTTGGCTTTTTCAAAGTGTCCAGAGAAGTCTCTGACAGTAGCATTTATCAAACCTGACAGTAAACATTTTGTGGTTTTTGTCTCTGAATCTCCTGGAAGTGTCTAAAAACTGTATTAGGAGTGATTTGAATACAGATAGTATTTTCTGTGAAAGTAACACAAACTGATGCTGGTTTTGAACTACTCTCAGAAATACACAGCATTCACTGCACATGCTCCAGCTTCTATAAGAAGCATCCAGGAATTCTCTTCTGGCATTGCAGTAGAGATTTTCTAGCATGTAAACCTCCACCCTCACCCCAAAGGAAAAATGAGAAATGTTCTTCTTCTTTCACCATCGCTGCCATCTTCATTCTTCTATTCCAGCACAGAGGTGTCAGCCCCAGCTCACCAGCCTGAATTCAGCTTTCTGCAACAGTCTGTAATTTACTATCATTTTTGTCTTCTTCACCTTTCTTCTTTCCCTTAGTATTTTCCTTTGTAGTTTTCCTGCAAGAAACACATCAGAGATCAAGACACCTGAACATAACCAGTGGCTTAAATTCAGGCTGCTGTCACCTGACACATGGCACCACACAAGGCAAAATGTTGTCATTAATCCAGCAGATACTGACACTAAAACTTCATCATTTAAACCATTATGACTGGGTGGTCCATCCAAACAAGTTATCTGTTACTTTCCTTAAATCTTCTGGGCTGTTTCTGGATAAACAGCATCTCTTACCTCCTCTTCAGCAAAACCTACTTACATTTTTCTTTTGCCTTTTTTCAAGAAGCACTTTGGGGTGGTACAAATGGATTCTCTTGTCAAAGGTTTCTTAATGAATTTCTTCTTTTGTTTGCTGAGAACAACATTTAGTGAAGAAAGCTGAAATTACTAGGGTTTCTAGTTCTAGAAACTACCATAAGTCATTAAAAAGCACTGATTGAAAGAGTGGTTAACTGCTCAAATGAACATACCTCTGCAGTTTGGGCAAATGTTTAATGTATTCTGGCACAGGACAACCAGCTCGCTGGATAACACTGGCAATACTGGAAAGGAGAGGAGGGAAGAGATCAACTCCAGTGCTTGGACAAGTGATAAATATTTTTTGTGGAAAACACAAACCAAACTGGCTGGTTTGTCGTTGGTCAAATGTTTAATGTATTCTGGCACAGGACAACCAGCTCGCTGGATAACACTGGCAATACTGGAAAGGAGAGGAGGGAAGAGATCAACTCCAGTGCTTGGACAAGTGATAAATATTTTTTGTGGAAAACAGCAAACCAAACAAACTGGCTGGTTTGTTGTTGGTCTTTTGTTTTGTAGTGGTTTTTTTTTAAAGCAAGAAATAAAGCCATTATTAATCCAGACATATTACCTCCGTAACAAAGGTTTATCATCTTCTGTAAAGAAAGTGACTGCCTTTCCTCTGTGTCCTGCTCTTCCAGTACGACCTGCCAAGCACACATTTTGCAGAGCAGAGATTTTACTTCAAACATCTCCCTTTATTCCTCCTCACAGCCCCAGCCTCCTGATGCAGGTTCACAGACCAAGCAGCCAACCCCCAAACATTGCTCCCAGTGAATGAAAGCACAGCTATGTATGAAACATCCAAATAAGGTTCACAGAGTGCTGACAAAAACAAGAGCATCTACATTAAAAACTTCAGAAATGGGGAAAAGGAGGTGATTTTTTGAGCCATGCCTCACCTATCCTGTGGATGTATTCCACTGCACTCGTTGGCAAATCATAATTGATGACCATGTTCACACCTTTGAAGTCCATCCCTCGAGCCAGTAACGCTGAGCAGATGAGCACCCAGATCTTCCCAGCTCTGAAACTCTGCACCACTTTGTCTCTCTAGGAAAAGAACAGAAAAGATGTTTGGAAACAGTCCCAACAGCAAACTGAGAAAGGAGGTGAACTTGTTTCCTTAAAGTTGTCATGATGTTAAGGAATAAAACTAAACCTCTGAACAAAATCTGCAGGAATTTGCTGCCACGGTTACCTGGAGTTACATTCCAACACTCTTGCCTTTACCTTTCTTTCTAAAGCATTTCTTGAAAAGAAATAAAATCCTCCTACCTGTTGCTGAGTCTTGTCTGCATGGATGACATCCACGTTGATGCCTTCATAAATAAGCTCATGGAAAAGCTCTTTAGCCCTTTCAATGGACTGTACAAAAACAAGGACTGGAGGAGCAAAACCCTGCAAAAGAGTAAGTTTATCTCAGGTTCCAAAGTCCTTTTCCTTGCAGAAACTGAGACACAGCAGATTTGGGCAATGGTTTGACATGTGAGAAGGGTTTGACCTGGGAAATTGGGAGTCTCTGACAGACCATAGCTCAGTTGAACAGGAAGAACAACATGCTCAGTGTCTCCAAAATACCTTTTTAACAAGCTCTCTCATTGCTGTTAGTTTTCCTGTCTCAGATCCAACAAACAGCAGCTCTTGTTCTACTGTCTCAGCTGCAGAGTTTCTGAAACCAGAAATCCAACAGAAACACTTTACTGTTTTTTATATACATTAACAAAAACTTATCTTATATATTAATAAATATATGCAGTATATATAACCCCCATAAAAATATAACCTGGTGGATGAGAAATACTGCATAACAAAATCTATTTCACCAGTGCATGCTCCTGAAATTGATGTTTATTTGATGATAAAAGTAATTGGCAAAGGAAAAGAACACTTCATTCAACACAAGAGAAAGATCTACGTGCCTACACAATTTTCTCTGGAGACAAACAACCTGCAGTGCTGACTAACAACAGCCACACAACCCAGCAGGCTGATGATGCAGAGAAAACAACTTCCTAAGACATTTTTTAAAAAAAAAAGAAGCAGACAACACCTACCTTGCCCCAACAGACACCAGCACAAGGTTGTCCAGGTTGAGCTTGCACCACTCCTCCACGTCGTGGGCAAAGGTAGCGCTGAACAGAGCCCTCCTGGCCAGGTGGGAGGTGCATGCCAGGAAGATTGTGCCCAGCTGGTCCCTGAATCCTGACTTCCCATCCTCAAACAGCTTGTCTGACTCATCCACCACCAGCCACTCCACGCTAGGAACAAGAGGTTTGATGTGCAGGAGAGCCACTTCTGAGTGGCACAGCACATTGCAAACAGACTCTCCTACCTGCTCAAGTCTATTGCTGGAGGATCTTCTTTCAGCAAATAAATGAGTCTGTTGGGAGTAGTAACCAGTATATCTATTAAAAGAAAAGAAGCAAAATGTCAAAGAAACAAACAGAGCTTTGAGAAACACCAGATCCAACCCAATGTGCCAGAGGTACAGTTTAGCAGAGTCCATGTCCTCTCACTTCCCATGTCTTCCCTGCCCCTTTTCAAGCATCTCTTTAAAAGCACACAGCCCAAAGAGAAAGGTCAGTGACACTTTTTAATTTTTTAGAAGCACTTCAGTCGTTAGAACAGTTACCAAATTTCTTGGAAGACTTGGGCCCAAACTTCTTGGCTGCCTCAGCTGCCTTGTGGATCATGTGGATTCTGAAGCCTGTGCCCTCTGCCAGCTTCACCAGCTCCCGGTGGG